TATCTATCTATCTATCTATCTATCTATCTATCTATCTATCTATCTATGAATGTCTCCAAAGTCCTTTTCTCCTTTGAAAGAGATATCTATCTATCTAAAGCAAATTCTCTTTCTTTGCTGATAGGAAAAAATAGAGAAGAATGGTTTTGCCAAGCACCCAGTTGGATGGTGCATTTTCTACCCATCCATCTTTCATTAGCTGATTTATCCATGTTGCCTGGAGATGATATTTACCTATCTACCTATCTACCTATCTACCTATCTACCTATCTACCTATCTACCTATCTACCTACCTACCTACCTACCTACCTACCTACCTACCTACCTATCTATCTATCTATCTATCTATCTATCTATCTATCTATCTATCTATCAACATAAACAGCTACAGTATTCTTTTTGTGGAATGCTGTTGAATAGAATGGGGTGTCAAATAGCAGAGAATAACCAATATACTCTAAAAATAATTTCATTAAGATCTGCTTGATACAGCTCTAATAATTCATAGGTCTTATTGAGGCACTGCTTGGAGTCACACAGGTCAGTTGATTTGGTCATTTTTAAAGAGATTCCACTCTGAGCCATTTGCAGAAAAAAACACCCCCATGATGAACACATTTATTCTGGAGTAAGGTTGCAGGAATTACTGACTACTTAATCAAATGCAGTATTTAATTATTTAGTACTCTCTCATAATAGATTGGCACTTCATTTTCAAAATATCTCTGGTTCTGAGGTAAACAGGAATAAAAATCTGAAATAGAAAATATTTAAAATAAATGTGAACTTCTACTGCAGTTTCATTTTTACAGTGAGCATTATTTCATGTAAATAGATGATGATGATGATGATGATGATGATGATGATGATGATGATGATGATGGTGTTGATGATGATGATATCCATTCAGTCGTGTCTAACCCTTGGCAATTCTATGGGCCAGGTCTCGCCACGTTTTCCAATCTTGCACTATTTCATTGAGTTGTTCTACGCTCTAGCTGGTGTCAGCTTTTTTTTTTTTTAATTTATAAACTTTATTAATACAGATAAAGAAAAAACACAGTAAACACAAATGACAAAAACAGAACAAAAAACAAAATAAACATTATACAATAAACAGTTATAAGTAATCAATCATTTGTTTGTTTGTCATCTGTTTCGTAATGGTCTTTTCAGTAATACAGTTTTCTTATTCCCTTAAATCCTAAAATAATAGTTTCTTATTACTTCTTTATTCTCTTCTCTCTTTTACTCTCTAAGACTTCTGATCTGTATGTTATATGTTTGAATTATACCTTCGCATTCTGAGATTCTTTCTGTAGGTTTATTCGCCCATAAGGAAGTAACTATATGCACATTTGTACTTCTGTTCTATCTAATTTCTGATTATATTTCTTCCATAACAGCCCTATACCATTGATACCGTTTATTCCAGACTTTATAAAATTCAGTGTCTTCTTTTTCCTTTAACTCTTTTGTCAGTCTGTCCATTTCTGCACATTGTGTAATTTTATCTATTATTTCTTCTTTTGATGGGATTTTTTCCACCTTCCAATTTTTAGCATATATTATCCTTGCTGCCGTTAAAATGTGTGTTAACAAGTATTTTATTTCTTTGGGGTAAGATTTTGTGAAGATTCCTAACAAAAAGATTTCAGGTTTCTTATCTATTTGTAATTTAGTGATTTGATCTAGCCATTTCTTGATAATGGACCAAATTTTTTTTGCCGTCGGGCATGTCCACCATAGATGGTAAAAAGTGCCTTGTGGATTCTTACATTTCCAACACACCGAACTATTTTTTGGGTTTATTTTGGCCAGTCTTGTAGGTGACATATGCCACCTATAAAACATCTTTAGCTGGTTCTCCTTGTATGCCACCGCCAGTGTTGTTTTTGTGTTCGTTTGCCAAAGTTCTTCCCTTCTCTCAGATACAATCTAAACGTATAAAAACGTATGAAATATGTAAAGAAAAACAGGAACTAGACAAAATTATATTAGATTCAGGAGAGAAATTAATCAGTAAAATCTACAAATTTCTGTTAAGTTATAAGATGGAGGAGGAAATAGTTAAACATACGATGATCAAATGGATGCAAAATTTTAAATACTCAATAGAATTGGAGAGATAGCTGGTGTCAGCTTTGATGGTGTTCAGTCACCGTGTTGTTTGACAGCCTGGTTTTCTTTTACCACTAACTCTTCCAAACACAATTGTTTTCTCCAGTGAATTCCGCTGCATTGTATGACCAAAGTAAATGACACAGTTTTGTGATTTTGCCTTCTAGTGACATGAACCAGAATTTGGAACAGGTTAAAATATTTATTGGGGAAAAAATGACAAGAATTGTTACCAATTTAATTGCTACCTTTTATACATTCTTATATTGTTTTGTAGTCTTTATTATTTATTTATTTATTTATTAAATTAATATGCCGCTCACCTCACTCTACAAAGTATCTCTATTAAATGCTTAATATTTGTGATTTACTTAGTTATTTCTAAATTAAATAATTAATATATTTATATTTAATATGTTTATTATGCCACCCATTTCCCAGTTCAGAGACTCTGGATTTATATTTAGAATGAATAGTTCTTGTGCACCCATTAAATTATTTTCTCAGAAACATAATTGCTAGCGTCTCAAATTTTTTGATTCAGATTGAACACTAGAGGAATCGAAAGCTTTGATGCGTATAAGACCAATTTGATCCATATTGAACAAATAGTACCGGCAAGTAGAAAAGGCCTTCAAAAATATTCCAACCATAAGATTGGATTTTTAAAAAGAGTTTATTACTCAAAATGTACCAAGCATTGTTTCTCAAATTTGAACAAATTAGATATAGCAGCTTTCTTTCAGATTATTTATGGGGTGTTCTATTGTTTTAGATTAAGGATGGAAGTGGTTTTCTGTGGTGACATATTAGTGACATTTCATTTTAAATTCTGTTTTAATTGCAGTCCAGTCCAAGCCGAGCGGACCTCATGCTCTCAGAAATACCAGCAGCAGCACCACAACTGCAGAATCAGGTAAAAACATAGGAGGGGAAATTCTATTTAGGAAGAACCTTTTTTAAAACTAGCATGTGTTTTGCTTTAAGGATGACAGGACAAATATTACCTAGCAGGCCTGGAGCCCTGATGCAGAGAATGTAAAAATAAGGAATGTCTCACATGCCTATTTCTATCCATGGTATCAGGGTGTCTATAGGGTAGAGTCAAAATAGTGAAGATGTGTGATCAAAGCTCCATCTGTTTTTTATATACTTGTATATTCATTGTGGTCAGTTTGATGTTTTGGACCACCCACTGCTACATTCCCGCTGTGCTCCTCCATTGTTACTAAGTTATTTATGTACCATCCAGATAGATTTTTGTGGGTATGATGACATTCACTCAACTCTTTGGAGATGCACATGCCAGGATCAACTAGCAAGTAATTTCCTTATTTAAGTTGCACATTGTAAAACTCTACGCTTATGAACTCTTTTGAATGATCTCTTGGGCCAGTTCCTCAATAGCGATTTATACTATTTTACAATTTCATCCAACTAATACTGAGATGGTTGAAAGCCTTCATTATTTCAATTATTTTGGTACTGTAAGGGATGGATGATGCTGCAAAATACCAATAACGAAAAGGTCTTAATCTGCTTCTTATCTTTTTAGCCTCCTCAAACCAGCAATTAATTTTATCCACAAGATCGCTTTCCATGGGCAGGAGAGGGAGGAAAAAAATAGGATGGGAAGGACAGAAAGGGTCTCACTTTTATTCAGTTCCACCAGTCACTCCAATCCCCTGGGAAATGGAGAAAAGAAATGGCTGAAAAGAGCACCAGGTTGGAGTGAACTGGAGCGGCGGATATGAGTTTTAATTTGTACTTTAATATTAAGCAATTGCTTTTTATTTGTTAGAATAATTAATCAGTGGTTAGAACAATTAATCAGTGGAACAAGTTACCTCCAGAAGTTGTGAATCACTGGAGGTTTTTAAGAAGAGATTGGACAACCATTTGCCTGAAATAATATAGGGTTTCCTGCTTGAGCAGGGGGTTGGACTAGACGACCTCCAAGATCCATTCCAACTCTGTTATTCTGTTTCAGAGATTTGTATTTCTTCCACACACCCCACCTCAATAGCCCTCTATATTACTATATGATTAAATATAATGGAGTTAAAATGAATTTGTTAAGATTGAAGCAATGAAAGGAAGGCAAAAAAAAAAAATCAGCATCAGATATTCGAATAAAGCTTTTGATTTTAATAATTGGGGGGGAAATAAGGAGGTTGCCTAGCAACAAAACAGATATGTTGAGCAAGCAGCTTCTGTGTGCAAGACTTCAATTGTTGTAGAATCACTCAAAAAGTGACTTTTATGTCTTTGTACCCCTTGCTATTCCCTCGCAAAGGGAGCTCCTTTATTAAGTCATTTTTCTGTCAGTCCCCCCCTTCCTCTTGACCCATTCATTTTTTTTTCATATATTTGATGATTTAATCCCTTACTCATTTCTGTAAATGAGTACATTTACATTTATTCATTACATTTACAGAAATGTACTCCAAACTTGGCAACTTTAAGACTTGTGGACTTCATCTCCCAGAATTCCTTAGCCAGCCAGACATGGGAGTTGAAGTCCACAAGTCTTAAAGTTGCCAAGTTTGGAGACCCCTGCTCTAAATGAGCAACATATGTCTTTCATATTGACCATTCAGTTTTTTTACTCAGTCCATATTTATTCATTACCTATGTATTCCTGACCCTGCCTTTTCTTGTTTTACTACATTCATTCTTGCTACTACTTTCCTCTTTGTGTAAATCCTTGACTTACAACAGTTTGTTTAGTGAACATTCAAAATTACAATGGCACTGAAAAAGGTGACTCATGATCATTTTTCGCACTAACAACTATTACAACATCCCTACAGTCATGTGATCAAAATTTGGACGCTTGGTAACTGACTCATATTTATGATGGTTGCAATGTCCTGGGGTCATGTGATCACCTTTTGTGACCTTCTGACAAGTAAAGTCAATGGGGAAGCCAGATTCACTTAACAACCATATTACTAATTTAACTAAGTTGTTGCTAAATTAACAACTACAGTTATTCAGTTAACAACTGTGGCAAGAAAGGTCATAAAATGGGGCAAAACCTACATAACAATGACTCACTAAGCAACAGAAATTTTGGGCTCAGTTGTAGACATAAGTCAAGGACTACCTGTAACATCACTCTCCAGGCTGATAGGCATAGATGCAATCTTTGTGCAATACTACTACCGGTAGTTGCTCAGCCATTCCATAAGGAAATCACTTATGAATTATAATATATTTCAAATTACACTACCCTATATTTGCATATTTACCATTTTTCAACTTCTCCACACCATTTATGACCCCCTTTTCCTTAATTTATTGTTACGGCTTTTCTCTACTGAAGCCTTAAAGCTGTTGAGCTTCTATTCATAAGATGCCTGGAAATGAAGCAGGCTTAAGAAATGCCTTTTTGAATTTTCTCTGTTTTGGCCAAGATGATAGCCTGATGCACTTTCCCAGCTGGATTTACCATGAGCCCTGATTGATGGACCTCCCTGTATTTCTTTATCTTTCCCATCTGTGTCAAGAAAACAAGTCTGAATCACTTTCATTTCTGTAGGGGATTCCTTGAAAATACATCATTTCTTTTAAGTGAACCTTCTCCATTGATTCTCCCTTATAGCTGACTTTTTTCCATCAGCATCTCCTTGATAGGAAAAGACGGAAAACACTACAGTTTTATCATTTTTTCCTATCACTAGAGTCAGAAGAGAAAAGTAACAGAACATTTTCCAGTTCACCAAGGAGGAGGAGGAGGAGGAGGAGGAAGAGGAAAAACTTCTCTTTCACCGTTCCATTACTGAACTTATCAAAGAAAAAGCACCGCTTTACAGCTTCTCATTGGTGAACTTGTAAAAATAATATGGTCATGGATGGCAGTGATTGGCGATTGCTCCTATCACTATACTCAACAACCAAATGGGATGCAGAATGCATTTTAGTCTTTGCTAAAATGAAAAATGCTTGGATTGACACAAGTTAAAAACACTACTTAGGTGTGGAGCAGGAAATAGTGTGCAGAGGTTGCCTTTCTGATGGCCTGGGGGATGAAAAATGGAGACAACAACATGCAGTCCTTGAGAAATGACTAGAGGGCCAGGCTCATGCCAAGACAAGCTGGTAGTGCAGACTAATGTGTCTATAATTCACATTCAAATCTTTAAAAGACTCCTTCTGGCATTCTTTTAGTTCAGCTTCATCCCAAATCATTTATCACTTCATTTACAATTCTATTCTCTCTGCTGGCTGTTCCTTGTTTATTCTTCTCCACTTCCATAAGAACTCCTTATTCATTCTGCATTTTCTCTGCTTCTTTTTCTCTTACATTCCAAGCCTTAATGTCCTGTACCCCACTGTCATCACTAGAGGGATAAGCTTCTTCAGGGGCACAGAATGAGATGTACGGGTCTCCCAGGCATCTCCTTTGTCTGACTGCTTTATTCTGTCCTTTGATCGAAAATAGACTCTTTGGAACAATAGCATTCCAAAATATGATGATGTATTATTGATTTAGAAGTCCGCGTGGCTCTGTCATTGCTTTCCAAAATCCATGTGCAAAGAGATCGGATGGGGACGGGCTGACCACTTTTCACCAGTGGCTGGTGAAGTGGCTGACCACTTTTCACCTTCTGTTTCTGATTGTCAAGGAATATAATCTGTTCTCCTGTTTGAAAAATGAACTGCTGAATGAGAAATTATGGTGGCGTTTTCCAGGAATGCAGTCCCTATTTTCAACTGTGTAGTAATGCTCAGTATGTACCTGGGAATCTGCTGGACAAAAACAGCTAAGTGCCCCACTGGGATTCTTCCCAAGCAGAGGCGTCTACCTCAGCAGTGGTATTTGAGGTTACCTGTGCTCCATGCACACTCACCTCAGTGACATTTTTTATCAAAGAGGCAGGAAGCTGTGTGGGTGGTATTTTGTGTTTACCCAACCTCACTGATAAAAGGACTGGGGCGGGGTGGGGAGGGAGAGTGATTTTTATTTCTTTTTTAGTGACCTTTTTGGGGACCCATTGGGTGGTGCTGGGGATTTCTACCACAACCTAAGCTGGGGTAGTTCTTGGCAGTTTCCATTTTGGGATAGATGTAGTCCTTGACTTATGACCACAATTGAACCCAAAGCTTCTCTTGCTAAGTGAGATATTTGTTAAGTGAGTTTTGCCCCATTTTATGACCTTTTTTGCCACAGTTGTTAAGTGAATCACTTCAGTTGTTAACTTAGTAACACAGTTGATAACTGATACTGGTTTCCCCATTGACTTTGCTAGTAAGAAGGTCACAAAAGGTGATCACATGAGCCCAGGGCATTGCAACCGCCGTAAATATGAGTCAGTTGCCAAATGTCTCAGTTTTGATCATCTGATCATATGGATGTGATAATGGTTGCATGAAAAATGGTCATAGGTCACTTTTTTTCAGTGCCATTGTAACTTTGAACTGTCACTAAGAGAACTTTTTTTAAAAAAAAACAAGTTTTATTGGTTTTTTTCTCCTTTCCCACCTTCACCCAAATCTTTCTTTTTTTTTGAACAGAGTGTTGGTCGTTTCTTATCTTATCTAATATTTCCCACCTTCACCCAAATCTTTCTTTTTTTTGAACAGAGTGTTGGTCGTTTCTTATCTTATCTAATATTATCAAATTCAAATACATTTTACTCAATTACAATTTTTGTCAATATCGTCTTCCCCCCTTTCCTTTTTTTTTTGAATATACCTCAGTATTTCTATACTTGCATACATAAACACCTTCTTCATTTATCCCTAAATTCTAACTTTACTATTTGTACATATTTATCCTCTTTTATTCTTAAACAGTTCATTCTTTTTCTTAATATATTTATATTTGTTTGTTCAGAGCTGCCTTTCTTCCACTTCATCTTTTTTTTTTAATTGTACAGCAATCTTTCTCCTCAAACCTAGCCTCTCCCTCTTCTCCTTCCAACTTTCTTTCCCCACCTTTTTCTTCTACTAAGAGAACTGTTGTTGGTGGAGGACTACCTGTATTGTGAACTCACTAATAGTTAATCAACCTTGGAGCATTCATTTTGTCAATCTAACTGAAGTGTGTGTATGTGTGATAGAAGGGCAGTGAATCATAATATACAATTTCCACATATGCCTTTTCTCCACAGTAGTTTCATACCCGCTTAGCTATTAAAAGCTCTGGTAGAAAGCAAAATGGATTGTCTCTTGCTGCTTTGTACTCAAGTGCCATCTAATGTAAGGGAAAGCATTTTTTAAGCATTTAAACAATTGTTTACTACTTGGAAAGGGAGGAGGTATGCTTCTGCATATTGCTCTTAAGTGGAATAGGGGACAAAACCTTCTCAAATCCACAAGACATTTTGCCATCCTCTGCACTACATTATCACGAGAATGTCTATCAGCTAAACTTCAGGTTGGAGAGATTTCCCGACAATTGCATTCTGCAGCTATCAGAACATAATTCAGATGGACCCCATTGTGCAGTTAAAGCGATTGATTTCTTTGTACTTAAGATGGCTGACACAATCAGCACAGAATGGAGTGGATGATGATACCTGAAAGAGAAACAATGGGCTATAGCATTTCACATTCTCCACACTCTCTGGTCTTTAAAAAAAAATAGAGCAGTGTTTTTCCACCTTGGCAACTTTTTAAGACATGTTTCACTTATGCTGGCTGGGGAATTCTGGGATTTAAAATCCACACATCTTAAAGTTGTCAAGGTTGAGAAACACTGCAATAGAGTCAACTTTAAATAATTGTTTTTCTAATGAGTAGGGGTTTTTTTTATTAGCAGGAACTTTGGTACATGATAGAGCAATCAAAAGTCAACTGCTTATCATCTGATACTTCATTCTGCTGTTATGTGCAAACACTGATCTTGGTTAATGAATATTAAATTTCTGTTGTTGGGTGAGATAAATGTAGTACCATACTATTACTACTGGGGTGGGCAGTAGAACTTCATTGCATAAATGGAACTATCACTATCAAGTAATTGCCTTCAAATAGGAAATTAGAAAAGGAAAGTCTCTTATGGATCATTCATCATGCATTGAATGGTTATAAGTTAATATGAAGTGGAATAAATAGAATAGAATAGAATAGAATAGAATAGAATAGAATAGAATAGAATAGAATAGAATAGAATAGAATAGAATAGAATTCTTTATTGACCAAGTGTGATTGGACACAAAAGGAATTTGTCTTTGGTGTATATGCTCTCAGTGTACATAAGAAGAATAAAATACATTCATCAAGAATAAAAAGATACAACACTTAGTGAATGTCAAGGTTACTAATAAGCTTGTATTTATCATACTAGGAAACAAATAAAAACAATATAAATTGAAAAATACAAACAACATGGTTATAGTAATAAGTGGGAAGAGATAGATACTAGTAAGGAAGAGAAGAATAATAGTAATACAGTCTTAGAAAATTATTTGACAGTGTTGTGAGAATTAGTTGTTTAGCAGAGTGATGGCATTCGGGAAAAAAACTGTCCTTGTATCTACTTGTTCTAGTCTGCAGTGCTCTATAGCATCACTTTGAGGGTAGAAGTTGAAACAATTTATGTCCAGGGGTCTGTAGATATTTCCACAGTCCTCTTTTTGACTCATGCAGTAGACAGGTCCTCAATGGAAGGCAGGTTGGTAGCAATTGTTTTTTCTGCAGTTCTAATTATCCTCTGAAGTCTGTGTTTGTCTTGTTTGGTTGTAGAGCCAAACCAGACAGTTATGGAGGTGCAGATGACAGACTCAGTAATTCCTCTGTAGAACAGGATCAGCAGCTCCTTGGTCAGTTTGAGCTTTCTGAGCTGGCGCAGAAAGAACGTTCTTTGTTGAGCTTTTTTGATGAAGTTTTTGATGTTAGGTGTCCATTTTAAGTCTTGAGATATGATAGAACCTAGAAATGTGAAGGACTCTACTGTTGATACTGTGTTGTCTAGTATTGTAAGAGGTAGTAGTATAGGAGATTTTCTTCTAAAATCCACCACCATTTCTACAGTTTTGAGTGTATTTAGTTCAAGATTGTTCTGGTTGCACCACAAGACTAGTTGTTCAACCTCCCTATCTTTTATAGGGAGTAGATATCTCCCTATCTACTATCTTCTTTCGATAGTCATTTAGAGCTTTCTTCCACTTGTACCTAACTGTGGCACAAATATACCCTTGCAACATGTTCTTGTTACAGTAGAGCCTCCATCTTGTATGCCCCAGCCCATGAGTGGGGCATACTTAAACTCTCCTTAGCTGTATTGTTACTAACATTGTGTTTTCCTCCCTTATTCCTACACCATCAAGAATGTATGAAATATATTAGGCTTTGTGGCCTATTGCCTTAATGGGAAGGCAAATGACTGACAGTGACATGAAACAAAAGTGGTACAGGCAGAACAGAGATCAATAACGGGGGCAGCCTGTGTTGTTCTACACTGTCTCAAGGATTGATAATTTCAAATAGTAGTGGAAAAAAGTCCATAGACCCCTAAATAAGTTTTCTCTTCTTAGGCATTTATCCATTTATTTCAGAAAACCTCAAAGTACTACATGTTTCATACCAGTTTGAGATGGTGCAAGGTGAAACTTTCATCATGCAGTTATCATGTATTTCTAACTATCCCACAGCTCTTCCATCCTTCCCCATCTCCAAAAACCTGTCAAAGAAAAAAAAAATCAGAATAGCTGCACTATGTTTTTTTTATTCACGTTGTTAAGACTGTTACATTGCAATTCAAGTTGCACGACTTCTGATTGTCCTTAATATCTCAACTTCTTATCTTGCAGAAATTCAAAAATTACGTCTGATGGATGGAGGAAGCAACTGTTCAGGCAGAGTCGAGTTGGAAGTCATGGGTATCTGGGGCACAGTATGTGGTGACAACTGGGACCTTGCTAATGCTGAAGTTGTGTGTCGGCAACTTGGTTGTGGTTCAGCCTCTCGGGCTCTCAATGGCTCTCATTTCCAAAATGGGATGAGACCCATCTATAAAATGAAATGCTTGGGGAACGAATTATATCTATGGGACTGTCTATCCGAGAGGAGCCATGATTGTAGACACAAAGATGCCGGTGTGATTTGTTTAGGTTTGTGAACAGAACTTAACTAAATTTCTGTTGTTTGTGTTCATGTTTAATTAATGTTCATTGGGGTTCAGGCCTGAATATGGGACCCAGATAGCCCTGATTGCTTATATTGGTGACCTATGGCAGGACAGGATAGGAGAAGTGTAACCCTCCCCACCCTCTGTGCAACATGCAATACCATATGTCATAGTATTCTTTTGGATTGCCTACGGGGGAGATAAGTGTGGGGGGCACTGTTCTACATGGATTCTTTTCTTCCCTGAGAAGTTGGTTTCATTACTTGCACTAGTGCAGTGGTTCTCAACCTTTTCTTCACACAGACCCCCCTTTAAATACCTTTTGTGGCCATGGACCATGGACCACAAAGACTTAATTCAAGATTTAAATCATAATATTTCTTCAAGCCTTCGTGGCCCCTAGGGTTCTGTGGACCACAGGTTGAGAACCACTCCACTTGTGGATGGATGAGAGTCAAGTGTAGAGGCTCTGTATTGTGGGCTCCTGAGGGCTCTACTGTCATCTCCAAATTATTTAATAACTACAGGAAAATAATAGGAAAAACCATCCCTTGGCATTATATGAGGTATCATCAATATACAGATGACACTCAGTTGTATATCTCCATCCTGAGATGAACAGGGGATACTGTTAAGGACCTGGTATCTGGATGGCATGAAACAAACTCGGATTTAATCCCCAAAACACTATAGATTTGGAAGCCCTCTTATAATGTAAATAATTTGTCTTTAGTTTGGGGCAGAATTGTGCTCCTATGCAGAGCTAGTTCCCAGTCATGGCTCCCCTCTTTAAGGGCAAGTGAAGGCCATGTCCAGGTGGGCTTGTACACAGCTCTACCTTATGCACAAGTTGGGATCTTTTCTGGATCAAAAGGCTCTATTGTTACTCATGTCCTTATCACCTCATGTTTGGACAATTGCAATACATTATCCATCGAATTGCCCTTGAAGGCCATCTGCAGGTAGAAACTTCAGCTGTCCCAAAATGCATCAACCCAGGTTGTAACCCGTTTGACTCATTGCATCTACATTAACAACTTTACAGGAGCTGCACTAATTATCAACATGCAATTTAAGCTGCTGGCTATCACTTTTAAAGCCTTTCATGGATCAGAATCTGTGTATCTGTGAGACTGCATGCACTATACAGAATCTGTATAGTGTTCCATGAATTCCAAAAGGGAGGATGTAGGTTCCTAAACCAAGGTAAATCCAGGACTATCCCTACAGTTGAAACTGCACTACTTTATCAATAAGCCACCATGTACCAATGTCACCTTAGCCCATAGCTAAAATCCCTTTCAGAGACTTGTCTAAAGATACAAAGGTCTCACTCCCAATAGAGATGGGTCATCAAAGGAGCCTCACATTCATGTCTGCAGATTCAAATATTGTAGAAGGCCTGAAGAGGAATGGAAGTGGCTTTGAATTAGATGTGAGTGCAGCTCTATGGAGAGTCAAGAGGATGCCCTTGCTGGAAACAGAGAAGATTCTTTGCCATGACAACCAGGAGATACACATTGATATCAATTCCTCACTAAAGCTTCTTCAGAAAAGACATAGACCTAATAATAGGAGAAGATGAGATTATGGTGTCACTCAATGTTACAGCACTCTACATCCATAGACCCAGAACTAACAAAAGAATCCATGGCAGCAGTACTAGACAATGTACAATCTAACTAAATATATTAAGATTGAAAAACCCAGAATCATGGATCTCATCAACTTTTGCCTCACTAGCTATTTTCAATTTGATAGACAACTACAGCAATAAATTAGAGGATCACCCTTGGGCTCACACTCTCAGGACTCATAGTAGAGACAGTAATGTAGAGTTTAGAAACTATAGCATTCCCACACATACAACGCAAAGTATGGATCCAGTATGTAGATGACACCTTTGTTGTAATAAAAAAGGAAGAATTAGAGAAGACACATGAAACAATCAACATGGTCTTCAAAGGATTAAATTCACAAGGGAAGAAGAAAACAACACATTCCCTTCTTGGATGTCCTCATCAGCACAGGAAATGGCAGCAAATTAGAAACAGATCTCTATCAAAAATTCACCCACACTAACCAAGTCCTTCACTATCAAAGTAATAACTTAACCTCCTGCAAAAGCAGCTGTGTAAGAACTTTATTGAGATGAACACAAACTCATTGGATCAACCCAGACCACCAGAAAAAGGAAACAGACCATCAATACAATATCTTCCAACAAAATGAATACAGACATAATTTTATCAAAAAAATGCCTGACCACTCAACCCATTACAACACAGTCAATGCAAGCTATAAAAAGGCTAACACTGTCATATGTCAAAAACATCTCAGAAACAACCAACAGACATACAGCTTACCATAACAGACTAACTAAAGCCTCCAAAATATCTTAAGTAAACCAAAAGACCCAGTAACCCAAAAATAAAAAACAGGAGTCATCTATAACATAGAGTCAAAGGACAAACAGACACTAAATAGGACAGGCAGACAGAAGACTAGCAGAGTGTGTCCATGAACACCAACTAGCAGTCAGAAGAGTGTTTAAATTATTTGAATTGGATTTGTAGTTATTTTAATTAAAAAATTAGAGGAAGATATCTGCCAGGTTTGATATGAATTGTTACAAAATGATTTTGTGAATTTGTTTTGTTCATTAGGGAAAAAGAGTGGATTGTTCAATGAAGAAAAATCCTCATTTTCTGAAGTAGTGCTGGATACATTTTATTATCTGGAAGTTTCCACTAATGCTTAGGCAAAATCTTCAGTTTCCTTTGTAATGCTTTTAATCTTGCTTTCTAAAGCAACAGGAGATGCATCTGATCTGTCCTCTGCTTGATTTAACACTGCAGATTTTAAATTAGCTTTTGTATTGGGGCTTTTATTTTTATAAGCCAGCATGAACTAGTTCAGTGGCCATATAAATTTTCTAAATAAATAAATACCTAGGCTATCATGTCTTCTTTCAGTATACTCTTCTCAAGACTAAAAATATGTTGGTCTTTGGGCCATTACTTGTAAAACTTGGTTTCCAGATTCTTCAAATTCTTCTTAAAATGTAACATTAAAACTGGACTCGGTCATCTCCCTGCAGCCTGACCAGTGTAGAATAGAAGTAAATAATTACTTCTTAAGACCTTAGTCTTAAGACCGTGCTTCTATTAACACAGCCAAACACCACATTACCATTTTAAGCAGCAATATTTCACCACAAATCTTTGTCTAGAGTAAAGGATGGCACCCCCCCTTCCTCAGTATAAAATTGCTTCTGAAGCCATAACTGCCTTATCTTATTAACCTTGACTTTAAATTTGTTTTTCTGCATCGAGACCAATACAGCCTCCAGACACAGGTCAAGACTTTTATTGCATCACCCACACATTCTGAAGTACAAATGTAACACTGAGTGTCATCTGCATATTGATGATATCTCTGAGGTAAGTTAGGACAGAAAAAAAGACTCCACGAATGACTGGAACTAGACTTTATTGAGATACATTCAGTGGTGGGATTCAAGTAATTTAACAACCGGTTCTCTGCCCTAATAATTTCTTCCAACAACCAGTTTGCCAAACTGCTCAGAAAGTTAATAACCGGTTCTTCTGAAGTGGTGCGAACTGGCTGAATCCCACCACTGGATACGTTATATAGCAACAGAATCTTGAAACCCTGACTGAGTTGTCCTCTCCCTCCCTTTTATACTAGTGAATTAGTGAGTAGTCAGTCTCAGTTTCTTTCTCATACTTTCTCTGTTTCTCAGGCAACATGTTGTTGCAACCATCATCTCAGCTTAGTTTCTCCAAGATCATCTCTGAGATCTCTGCAATACCTTACTCGAAATACTTGAACAACTTTTCCAGTGGTTTTATGTTACATAAGATAGGAGAGAGCCTGTGGCATCTCATTACTAGCCCATTACAAGGTAAACCAAGGCATGAAAGTAACACCACAGGAAGACTAGAACTATGCTTTATCAAGTTGGGTTTTGGAAACAAAATCTTGAGAGTCTGATTGTTTTTTTCTCCCTTTCCACTTATACTTTAGTGCTGTGATGGTGAAGCTATGGCACGCGTGCCACAGGTGGCACACAGAGCCCTCTCTACGGGCACGCGAGCCGTCACTCCAGCTCAACTCCACTGCACATGAGCACATGCCTCCCACCGGCCAGGTGGTTTTCAGGTCTCTGCCGTGCATGTGCAGGGGGCAGGGCGCATGCGGGAGATGTGTGCACATCTGCAGGGGGTGGGGTGCATGCAGGGGGGCAAGTGCACCTGCTCAGGCAGGGGGTGCAGGGGGCGTGCATGCATGCATGGGGCAGGGTGCACAAGGGGTCATGCACACATGCACGGAGGAGGGGGTGCACCGTGGTTTTGGGGTGAGGTATCATCAGTACGCTGATGATACCCAGCTTTTTATATCCACCCCGAACCAGCCCAGTGATGCCCTCGATGTGATGTCCCGGTGCCTGGAGGCGGTACGGATCTGGATGGGGAGGAACAGGCTTTGGCTCAACCCTGCCAAGACTGAGTGGCTGTGGGTACCGGCATCCCGGTCCGATCTAGAGGTTCCATCTTTGTCTATAGGGGATGAGGTGTTACCCCTGGTAGACAGGGCATGCAACTTGGGTGTCCTCCTGGATTCACTGTTGAGTTTAGAAGATCATACAAGGTGCTGGTGATGACCTATAAAGCCCTACATGGCTTAGGTCCAGGATATTTGTCGGACCATCTGCAACCAGCAACAGCTCCCCATCGCCCGGTGTGTTCTCACAGGGAGGGCCTACTCAGGGTGCCATCGGCCAGACAGTGTCAACTGGTGACCTCTAGAGGCAGAGCTTTCTCTGTGGATGCTCCCACCCTCTGGAACCAACTTCCTCTGGGGCTCCGGTTGGCCCCTGACCTCTGCATCTTCCGCCGTGACTTAAAGACATGGTTGTTCAGCCTGGACTGGGGCGGGGTTAACATGTATTTTAACATGCTTTTATTGGATATTTTATTGTTGTGAGCCGCCCTGAGTCCTACAGAGATAGGGCGGCATATAAATAAAATAAAATAAAATAAAATAAAATAAATAAATAAATACGCGCATTGCATTATGGGTGGTCATGCGCACTTTTGGCACTCAGCGACAAAAAGGTTAGCCATCACTGCTCTAGTGAATGAGGTAGTAGTAAGCCTCCTTTAAATACTCTCTCCCTTCCCAGGACATAAAGAATGTTTCTTTTTTTGTTTATGTGATGGTTTCTGAATATTTGCTTCAAGGTCACCCCTCCAGGTCTCTGCACCCATTTAGAAGAGCTCTACAGCTTATCTAGTTCCCCCCTCACCACACCTCAACTGACCACACAGAGGAATACTATGGTCAGTGGTATTAAAGGCAGCACTTGGTCACTCTCCCCCTTTTAAAATCTCATCATCAGTAACCTGCAAGAGTGACAATGTGGGTTCAGTTCCCAATTTTCCATGCTCAGGTTTCAACCCTGACTAAAAAGAATGGTGTTCAACTTGTCAGCCTCTAGGAAAATTACATTCTTTTTACATTTATTGTATCCTAGCTGGCCTTATGGTTGTGATATTTTACTATTCAGGTTGTAGAACTCTACATTTCTCTCTTGAATTTCATCTGGATAGCTTTGGGCCCAGGATTCCATCTGTCAAAATTGTTTTGAATTCTGTCTTTGATTCTGCATTTTGTACTGTTAGCCACTTAGTTCTGTGTCATCTGCGAATTTGATAAATGTCCCCAGGTTGCTTTATTTCAAGTCCAAATATAACACAAAACCTAAGACAGATCTTTGACATTCTACTTGGCGTTGATACAAGCTGATATTTATTGAGTGATACAAGCTGAGGCATGTATTGAGCATCTGGGGATAATGACATTCAATCAACCGTGTCTCTTGCTAACAGTAATATTGTCCATTCTGCACTTAAGGTATCTTTTCACACAATACATGCATTGTTCTGTGCATTGGCTTTGTGTCCCTATGGCATCATTCCTGTTCAGTAGCTGAGCTGATTAATACTGAGTATTAGTATTAGTGTTGAGTATTTGAAATTTGAATGTCTTTGAAAGGGAGGAGCCCAGGCAGGAATCTGGTTTGCTTTTTGCACATTGCAGCTCTGTAGAATTTACGGAGTAACCTTTCCTTGCTTATAGAGCTCCTCCCTCACCCCATTACTTGGCACTTAGGCTGCAGCCATGCTAGTGGGTCTTTCAAGGGAAAAGGTGGCTAGACAGTTCAAGGTCTTCAAACTTGGCAGCTTTAAGACTTGTGGACTTCAACTCCCAGAATTCTGTAGTCAGCTATGCTGGCTGGAGAATTTTGGGAGTTGAAGTCCACAAGTCTTAAAGCTGCCAAGTTTGAAGACCTCCAGCTTAGGCCCTCAGAGGAGCTGCCAGGATTTTTTGGCAGACAGTCAGACAAATGAAGTGTGAAGTAATAAGGATGGAAGAGTACAGGTAAATAATTTTCTTTACCTATAATATGAAGTAGGGTGTTTTTTAATTTAATTTCTTTTATTTTTTGCTGCTGCAGGACCTGTGAGTATCCATGCACATTCTTGCTCTTTGTTTCCACACTTCAAGTTAGCAAAATTAAAGACAAAGGAAAACAGGGGATGTGTGGCTATGCCCTTAAACCTGAAAAGGAAAGGAAAAGAGAAGGTCATAAAAGCAGGGAAGATTAAGAGAAATAGATAGATAAAATAAGGGCAAATGGCAAGGATTAAGTTAAAAGGCAGAGGCAACAATGCCATCTCTTCTGGCTGCTTGCTTATCAGTGCTTTATGATGATAATTATGATTTTTTAAAGCTACAGTATATAACTCATGTCATGAAGCTGTTTGGTTTTTCTGGAAAGGGCACTTGAGATGCCACTTGGCCACTGTCCTACCATCATCATCTGCAAATGTCCTAACCAGGGGTGAAATCCAGCAGGTTCTGACAGGTTCTGAAGAATCGGTAGTGGAAATTTTGAGTAGTTCGGAGAACCAGCAAATACCATCTCTGGCTGTCCCCAGAGTGGGGTGGGAATGGAGATTTTCCAATATCCTTCCCCTGGAGTGGGGTGGGAATGGAGATTTTGCAGTATCCTTCCCCTGCCATGCCCACCATGCCACACCCACCATGCCACACCTCACCCACCAAGCCACGCCCACAGAACCAGTAGTAAAAAAATTTGGATTTCACCACTGATCCTAACTGTATGACTGGTTAGCCAAAGTAGCTTGTTTGGAAAGTGAGAAACCTGCTATCATATTAGCTATTGTGGTCTGTAGGAGGTTTCAGCTGGCTTTGATTGGAAAGGTTGTTTCGCTCTAAATCTCTGATGTGCTTCATTCCTTTATTGATTCTGATCTATTGATCCATACAACAATGTTCATAATGCAAAACCCATACATGCTCTGTAATTCTGAGCCTCTGAGATATGTGCTGGGGTTAAGGTTTGCTTTCCCCGGGAGAATTCTGTTTTTTCTTGATGCACACAATAATCTTAGAATATACAGTCTGGGCAAGCTAAGATTCAGCATATCCTTATTTGTCTAAATTTGAAACTGGTTGGTGAAGATGATGGAGCTTGTGGAGACTCCAAATTAACTTCTTTGATTAGAGAAAGTAAACCGTGTCTACATTTATTACCCTTTATAGACTTTTTGAATAAAATTGAAAAAAAATCACTTATGATTTGTGGTTCAGTGATTAGAAAACAAACCTGAATAATAGAAAAGGGTGAACTTTCTTTTGTAATCAGGGGGTAAGAGATAACTTTGTAATTTGTATTTATATTTGCTGCAAAGGAAATCAGAAAATTCTGCTTTCTATTTGTTTCTATTCTATCTTTCTGCATTTTGACTTTCCCCCCCCTCTTTACCTGTTATTAGTTTGTGTTAATTAGTTTTTATGCTCATTGTAAAAATTTCTATTAAAAACTGACACTGATTCACTTCTCCAGTGTTAATTGATTTTGTTTTTTTTAATTTTTTGTATCCTTTTATAATTTCAGGCTCACTGAGTATCCAGACGCCTACAGATACAACAGGAAGAGAAACTGTGACTTCAGTCTCCCATCTACCCAGTCTCAGTAAGTAAAATCTCTTTAAAGTACTTCAACTGCACGCAGTGCAATTGCTTAAACAAAGTCATTGTAGATTGCTTGCTTACAAAGAGCTTACTACATGCTAATTCACTTTGCATGTAGAGGTGGTTGTTTTTTTCTCTCTCTTAACTATATTTTTTGGCTCACTCCCAATTCATCTTAGTGGTATAAACAGCCAGAAGCAACATTCCAATCAGATTGACATTTGGCAGTAGACTGCATTAGAATGATCCCTAGAATAATAAATGCATTTTTCACACAACCGTTTTCAACCATTGCAGCCTCCCCATGGTCATGTGATGAAAATTCAGATGCTTAGCAATTGTTCATCTTTATGAAGGTTGCAGTGTCCTGGGGCCATGTGATCAGCTTTGGCAATCTTCTGATGAGCAAAGTCAATGGGGGAATCCAGATTCCCTTAACAACCATACTACTAACTTAACAAATGCAATGATTCACTTAATGACTGTGGCTAGAAAAGTCATAAAATGGGGCAAAACTCATTTAACAAATGTTTCACTTAGCAACATAAACTTTAGGCTCAGTTGTGATCATCACTTGAGGACTTCCTGTATTCATTGAATTGATCTTAAGGTTAAACAAGAAATAAATATTCCACTTTAGTTTCAATAATTAAAATTATTCAATAATCAATAATTATAACTAAAAATGTTGACCTCCCACTCTATCTGTGCAAATCTAATTGTGACCCATGGCTCTAATTTGTTTTTTTCTCATGGGGTCAGAACCCATAGTCTCATTCCCTAGAAGTTATTTTTCACTGATGCATTTTGGAAGAAAGTAAAACCTCACCTCTGATTGATTGAACTCTCGTGAAGACAGAGAATCAGAGAGTTAGGATGATCCCTGGCTGCCACTAACTGAGCAGCTTTGCTTACAAGGGTCCTGGAAAGAGAAGGGACAACTGAAAAAGGCATTCCACCCAAGGAAGAAATACATATGAAAAAAAAGAAAGAAAGAGGAAAAGAGAAGAGCCCAGTCTGGAGCTTCAAAGTTGAGGAAAGCTAAAATTCGTTTGTTTATCTGTAGAATGTATTGGCCACCCATTTTACCCAGGGTAACTCTGGCTGATTTATAATCCTGATTGTATAGTTAATGTATTCATTTGAAGGCAGCAGCTGATTATCTGGCTAAAGGTATTTAGCTATATATTAAGGCAATAAGTGAATAAGGAGAACCTGTTCAACCTACTGTATGTTCTTTTTAATGTTATTCTTTCTACCAGATAGTTTTCATTAATCCATGTCCAAACAAGCACAATGTAAGATAAAATAAAAATGAACAATTTTTGAGGAATGAAAATGAACTTACAGTGTGGGTTTTATATTGCCCAACAGTCTAGGAGAACTTGACCTTTTGATCTTGCATTATCCTCCCATGTAGCATTTCACTTGTAATAGACACCTTTCTAAACCAAGATAAACTGAGAAACGAGTGGGATAAACAACTTGTGTCTCTTCGGCTGCTGTGGTTTGGCTCGTCTGTTTCCAGCTGTTGAAAGTGTTTTCAGCATAGTTTGCAGGCAAAGCATATGATGGCCCATGCATGGGACCATATAAATGCCACTGTTTAGCATACTTGCATCAGATATCAGAATGCAGATGCGTCATGGGTGCATATGATTTCATTGTGTGCCTATCATGTTGGTCTCATCATGGCATTCTATGGATGATGCAGGTGGAAATACTTGCACTGCTCAATTGTGAAATTGTCTGGTCTTATTCATGGGTTCTTTCAGGATGTCCACATAAAATCACTGTTCTTTAATAATCCTCTGGTTTTTCTATAGTGTTCCATATTATGTTTCAGCTAAAAGCTATTGCTACTTTTTGACTAGACTTCTCTCAAAGCATCCTTTACCCAACCCCATTCTTAGTCTATGTCTTCAAGGTGATGTTGGTACTTACAGACCAGGTTTGTGTGCTTGGTTGGGTATCAAGGGTGGGCTCCATTTACTTTTATTACCTGTTCGCAGCGGGATTGCGCTCTCTCTCTCTCTCTCTTTCTTCTGTGCATGTGCAGATCATCCATGATGGTGTTGTGGCAGGTGGGCGGAGCCTCCCGCTGGTTTTACTACTGGTTCTATAGAACCGGACAGAACCGGGAGCAACCCACTACTGTTGGGTATGTTATTATAATAAAAGCAGTACCACAACATTTTATGGGCTTCTTTTTTAACACTACTAGAGATTCCTTCTGGATTTTCTGTTCTCTGGATTCTCATTTAATCTGATGGTAAAGAAATTGCTTTCAGATTTACTTTTTAAATAAAGGAAATATTTGGAGAAATTCTCATGAGTGAAGAGTAAGAGTCTTACACTAACTTTAGATATGAGATGAAAGAGAGTAATAATTTTATTATATTAAATAGAAAATAAAGTAAAAGAGATCCAATTTGGTCTAGCGATTAAGGCACCAGGCTAGAAAACGGGAGACTGTGAGTTCAAGTCCCACATTAACCATGAAAGCCAGCTGGGTGATCTTGTGCCGGTCACCCTCTTTCAGCCCAACTCACCTCACAGGGTCATTGTTCTGAAAAAAAATAGGAGGAGGAAAGTGGGCTGTATATGTTTGCCGCCTTAAATCATTTGTAAAAATAATAAAGGTGAGGTACAAAAAATACTTATCCTCTTTTCCAAGATTTCAAGTCTGATTACCTACAGAATCTCCTCTCATTTTTCTCTGTAGTAAAATCCCCCTGTGCCATTGGTTTTTGCTAAAAGCAATGAATGGCTCAGCTATCCACACCCAGAAAATTTCCATAGGTAAGAGTGGACTTGAACTTCACTTCCTCGGTCTGAATTCTGACAGCAGGCAGTCCCTTTTGTCCCATGTTCCAACTAAATTGCAAAGGAAAATATATGAGAGTATTCCCACTACTTTCAGATCAGGAACGCTATAATTAGAATGCAGTACTGCAAGCTACTTCTGCTGACTGTCAGCTGCCTGCAATTTGGCAGATCAAATCTCACTAGGCTCAAGGTTGACTGTAAATACTATTGCTATGCTATGCTATGATAGAGAAGGTATGCGTTGAAAGACACTGTCACCTCAGCATCCTTGGATAACTTGCAAGCTCCAAAATATCACCCAAAGATCTTCTAAATACCTTTTAAAGCACCGTGGGACTGAAGTAGAAAAGTAAAAACTTATTTTTGGAAGAGAGATTTGGATCAACCTCCCCACCCCACCCCACCCCACACACATAAAGGTAGTCCTCGGCTTACAACAGTTCTTTTAGTGACCGTTTGAAATTACAACAGCATTGAAAACAATGGCTTATGGCCATTGAGAGCACTTATAGCCATTGCAGCACGTGATTTACATCCTTCTGACAAGCAAAGTCAACGGGGAAGCCAGATTAACAACCATGTTACTAATTTAACAACTGCAGTGAGTCACTTAACAAATGTGGCAAGAAAAGTCACAAAATGGGACAAAACTCACTTAAATAATGTGTCGCTTAGCAACATAAATTCTGGGCTCAGTTGTGGTCGTAAGTCAAGGACTACCTGTAGACGGCTTCAGAAAGCAGTTTTTTTCTTTCCTTTTCTCAATTCTATCAACGTTTCCATTTGCAGCTTTTACAACTCCTGAAGACGTGAAAGCAACATCACCAGATCGGGACCTGCAGATGACCTGCATCATTCTGGGTTTTCTCCTTTTTCTGAGCATTGTGATCATTATTATCCTTCTGCTGAAAAGACAGAAGAAAAATGGTACATTTCGTGTACTGGGGATCACAAGTGCTGGGGGGGGCGTGGCTTAGAAGAAATATTTTGCTTATTCATTCATTCATTCATTTATATAGCTGCACATCTCACAAAATATAATTCTGGATGTCTTACAATTAAAAAAAACCCATAGAACAGTAATATAAAAATAAAAAAATTAAAAATATTAATATTATGATTAAAAAGCAAGGAGAGAGCAACATATTAAAATGTGGTCAGAACTATGGTGGGATGGGGTTTTTAATGCGTCTTATTTAGAGGGCATTGCACAGGGGTAAACTGTGATTTGAAACACAAGACCAATTCTCTTTTTGCAGAAACAACATAATTGTGAGGGCTCCCTGCTAAGAATTCCTACAGCTAGCAAGCAACAGCATAAGCTCAGTGCTGTTGTAGCTGTGCTGTTGTAGCTGTGCCATTTCTGAAAACCTCCATTAGACTAGAACGGAAATTTCAATCTGCTGAAAGAATGTGCATTTGGATTGATTAGCCAAGAGGCTGAGAGTCTTTCTACAGATCTACTTAATGCAGCCACCAGCTCTTAGGGTCCTGTTTATCATATCTGCATGGTCAGATTTATTTGTATTAGAAGACAGAGATTAAAGAGGTGGTTTTTTTTTTTTAAATGCAGTACTGCTTAAGGTTGTGCAACACTTTGGATTTAATTGCCAAAAGATGCTTTAGATCTTATGGGAGTGTAAATGCACCTATGCAGACCACCTCAAAGCAGCCAGGTGACATAGCTCTAATATTCCAGGAAGGGCTACAGCTTCTTCAGCATGTTGCAAACAGTCAGGTGCTCCATTTCTGCTCCAAAGCTCCAGTTGGAAATCAAAGTCAAAGTGCTGTTTAGCTGTAATCACCTTCAGCCTACCAGCGTCTGGCATCTCTCAGTCATGTGCTTTTCAACTGAAGTAGGCAGATGGGTCACTAGTGAAGTAGCAAGCACAGTCGGAGTGGAATACATAGATCTGTGACACATGTATATAATGAATATGATCTTAGTATGGATGTAGCACGAAAACCTGTGGGTAAAAGAAGAAAGGTCACCTTTTCCCAGTGATCTTATATAGTGAGCATTTGATTTGCAGATTGTGTTATTTCTTCTGCTCCAGTATCTGTCCCCGTCCTGATGAATCACACGGTGCAGAAGTTAACCACTGGAGGGGATGTCTCTCTGAACCTCCACAAAACAGAAGGTATTAAAAACTCTTGCCTGCCTGCCTGCTTGCCTGCCTGCCTGAACTGGTTCTCTTCTTATCTTTACTATCTTTATTCTTACTTTTTTCCTTCTGTTTGCTTCCGGACAATTAATTTTTTCTGGCTCTGATCAATTAGGCTAGAATTTCATCACACCTGGTTGTCCATAGCAGGGGTCTCCAACCTTGACAACTTTACAACTTGTGGATTTCAACTCCCAGAATTCCTCAGCCAGCAGGAATTCTGGAAGTTGAAGTCCACAAGTCGTAAAGTTGTCAAGGTTGGAGACCCCTGGTAGATAGTGTGCTGTAGGACACCAGCAGGCAAACAAGCCAACAAACAACTTTTGCAGTTCTTAGGAAAAATCTGTCCTTTTAAGTTACCTAGTATTTGTCTTGGTAGACAATCTCCACTGTTCAGCTCTATCCCCAACTCTCAGCCATCATCATCTGCAAGTGCTGAAAACGTGCATGTTAAATTCAAAGAATGCTTAACATTACTTTCTGTTAGAGCACTCAGCTTTATGCATGTTTTGGGGGGGAAAAAACAATGCAGCATCCATTTTTATTTTATGCCTTAAATTTGTATGCTGCCCATCTCCCTTCACAAGGTGTCTCTGGGCGGCTTGCAAGTTATAAAACAAGTAAAAATAATTAAAATATTAAAATATTAAAATTAAACCAATTAAATTATTATTAAAATCAGTATCTGCTGTTTCTTTGAAGAATTGATATGGCTGCCTAACGTAGGCAGCGCGATTCTGGAGAGCAAACACAAAAACATAAGAATCAATAAATATAAAAGAAAGCAATAAGGACCATTAAAAACTAACTAAGGCAATAAAATAGCAGTTAAAAGTAAAATATATTAAAACCCATTTGATTGGGAACTCTGTTCTTTCTGATCCAAAAACCCATAAAAAGAAGCATTGGTGAAAATGGGAAGCATATAGAAAGGTACATATTTAATCTTAAAGATATACCCTTTTAATCATCTATTTTCAATACTGTAGAATTTATAGGAGAATTTTTTATAAATAGAGGAAATAAATTAGGAACAAATTCATTCATATGACCAAAACAACTGAGACCAAATTTAAATTCAATGTCATCTCAAAAAAATATTTACCCAACAGCAAATAAATTAATATATAGGCAGATTCTATGAACTTTTCTTAATCAACCTCAATTAAATAAATATTAACCAACAATTCCATTTGTTTATTTACAGGACTTATATGTCTACTTATCTCATACAGTGACTCTAGGAGGCTCACAATCATCTATAAAAACATGGCTAAACTGTTAAATGGATACTGCAGAGTTATATCATGCAGAATGAGATCTAGTTTAGTGTAATTGTTAAGGTACCAGCCTAGAAACTGGGAGACTGTGAGTTTTAGTGCTGCCCTAGGCACAAAGCCAACTGGGTGACCATTCTGTCTCTCTTTCAGCCCTAGGAAGCTGGCAAAAGCAAACCTCTTCTGAAATCTTAACAAGAAAACTGCAGGGATTTGTCCAGGCGCTCAACAGGAGCCAACACTATCTCAGAAGCACACATGCATAGCTGTGCATATACATACACATAATGTAGAATGTAGAATATATTTGAGGATATTCTTGTGATTACAGCACTAGTACATGCATAGGTAATGGCCAAAATAACCTGCTGAAATTACTGATGGACAAAAAAAAAATGAACAAGAAATGTTTATGAAAATGTGTGCTTTGGTATCCACTGAGTTTCACTGGATTCAGTTGGATTAAATGAATGAGCTGCGGTGGTGCAGTGGTTAGAATGCAGTACTGCAGGCTACTTCTGCTGATCACCAGCTGCCAGCAGTTTGGCAGATCGAATCTCACCAGGCTCAAGGTTGACTCAGCCTTCCATCCTTCCGAGGTGGGTAAAATGAGGACCCAGATTGTTGGGGGCAATATGCTGACTCTGTGAACATTTTAGAGAGGGCTGTAAAGCAATATGAAGTGGCATATAAGTCTAAGTGCTAAGTGCTAAATGTTAATATGCCACAAGTCTCCTTTGTTTCAATATATTAGCAGAGATAATATCACACTGAAAATGCAAGTTAGTTGGTCAATTCCTGTCACAATCAATGAACCAACATTTGGTTGATCTGAAAAAGTACACCCGGCAATTTCAGGAAAAATGCTAAGAAGAAGAAAAAAATAGGAGAGACAATACCTCTGGAAATTTAGCTAATATCAAATGTATATTTGCATTGTCCTGACACATCAGCATGTGACAGTGCATAATACAATAGTAAATAAAAAGTGTTAAATAACAACCCTTGATGTGAATTTAAACAGCATCTGATAAAACAACCAATAACAATAAACATATATAAAATCCCCTCCAGTCATCATAAAAATCATAAAAGTGCTTTACACTAAAAAGAAAGTCCTTGATAATCCAACTAGCTTTTTAGAGTTCTCTTGAAATCCATGTTTTCAAATGAATTAGTTTTATGAGCACGTCTAGGGGCCTTGTAACTATCCCAGGGTGAAATGCTCCCAGTTCAGACCGGATCGCCCGATCCGGTAGCGATGGAGGCGGGTAGTTCAGAGAATCGGTAGCAAAAATCCCTGCCCCCTCCTATTGCCCAGCTGAGCCGCGCAATCATCAGAGGCTTTTTTTTAATTTTTAAAAGCATTTTTTCTATAACCTCTTTGGCTGAAAAAATGCTTTTAAAAATTAAAAAAAAGGCTCTGATGATCGCGCGGCTCAGCTGGGATCATCAGAGGCTTTTAAAAGCATTTTTTTCTACAATCTCTTCAGAGGTTGTAGAAAAAATACTTTTAAAAGCCTCTGATGATCCCAGCTGAGTTGCCCGATCGGCAGAGGCTTTTAAAAGAAAAAGAGCCTCTGCCAATCAGGCAACTCAGCTGGGATCGTCAGAGCCTTTTGAAAGGCTCTTCACCAAAGAGGTTGTAGAAAAAATTGTTTTAAAAGTTTTTTTTTAAATGGCCACTCCCACATTACCTACCACCACCAAGCCACGCCCACAGAACCGGTAGTAACAAATTTTAGATTTCACCACTGAACTATACCTGATCCTGTTTGGTAATTACATGTAGTCCTCAACTTACAACAGTTCATTTAGTGGCCGTTCAAAGTTACAACAACACTGAAAAAAGTGCCCTATGACAGTTTTTCACACTTATGACCGTTGCAGCATCCCCATAGTCACATGATCAAAATGTAGACACTTGGCAACTGACTCATATTTATGATGGTTGCAGTGTCCCAGGGTCATGTGATCCCACTTCTGACAAGCAAAGTCAATGGGGAAGTCAGATTCATTTAACAACCATATAACTAACTTAACAACTGCAGTGATTCACTTAAGAACTGTGCCAAGAAAGGTCATAAAATGGGGAAAAATTCACCTAAGAAATGTTTCGCTTAGCAACATAAATTTTAGGCTCAATTGTGGTCGTAAGTTAAGGACTACCTGTATAATGAAGATTTGTTTTGAAATCATGACTCCGGTCTTTTAAAGAGCCAGTCCTACACCACAGCAGAGTGTATTGGCTGCTGCCTTTTCTAAACTCTGCTGGTTTCCTCAGACAATTGTTTCTGTTCTCTCTTCCATAAACAGACGTGACCCCTTCAGCAGCCCATGAAGACTCTGATTCTGATTATGAAGACTATGATTTCAGCAAGAAGCCCCCTGTGCCTCTCTCTAATTTCTATAGTGAGCAATCCCCCATGGCTATCTTTCTCCCCACTTATATGCACCTGAATGTTGTGTTGTTCCAAAGATTGAGGTCCTTTTTCTTCAAAACTCAGGCTTAACCTTCATTGTAGTTCCTATGATGAAAAAAGAACCAAGGAAGGATTTCTATTCAAATTGTACCAAGCTACAAGAAGAATTTTTCTTTCAAACCTGAAGGTGTTCTTCCCGGGTTTGTGGGGTGAGGGGAGGCCTTATTTCCCAAAATAATTGCTTCTTCCCCAGACCTTTACTTTAACCCCAATCTTGGGTGCGCACAGTCAGAGCAAAACATGTAACATGGCCTTATTTCCTGGCAATTATACAACTGTCTTTAAGACACATTTCAGACATCAGTGAATAATGATGCAGAAATTATACCTAAATACAGTACAATAATTAGACATCTCCATTCTGAGATGACCCACTATTCCCAGTGCCAATTGTGAGCATTCTGTCTGATAAGCAATCAATTACCCAAACAGTAAAACTTGCTGCAGAAGTGGCAGTGTTTCATTAGGTTCTGTTGCATGCATCAAAGTGTGCAGTTATTAAGGAAAATACCCAACATGCCTTGATTTCAATCATATAGAGTGACCAAAACTCTTAGTGGAATGGGGGATTTGATGGCTAGCCAGCATGATGAGCACCACAAACAGTTCTTCTATTTTTACTTCTAGATAGAGAAACTGAAGGAGCATGACAAGATACTCCTTGCTGGCCACCAGATCTCTTTGTTCATCTGCTGATGTCAGGCCCAGCCCAAAGTGACCTAGACTCTGGACCTAGGTCCAGTAAAATTCAATTCTTTATTTATTTATTCACTCCAAATAGACAGAATCTTGCCAGACTAAATCTATCCTACTCTAACACTAATGGATGTACTCTAGGAGATTCTATGAAGAGACTATCCTAAATCTTTTCCTTTCTCTCCAATGTTGTCCAGGCTGTGTTGTCCCTTGTCTTGTTCCCCTTTTTGGAATGTGCTCCCTACTTTCTGGGAAATTGTCACTTCATTGTAGACCATAACAACATCTCCCTTAGCAGATAAAATCCATTATATCTCACTAGAAAAGGAAAATTCTGATGGACCGGCGATTCCTTGCAAATGCTGCAGATTGACAAGTGTTATCAGAAATCTGAAATATTTAAAGATCTACAGCAGCCTGATGTTAAACAGGGTTTTAACTGTACAATCACAAGACTTGGGCAATAGCTCATTTCCTGAAAGTGATATTATCTGCCAGCTCTAAAACTTTTAAGGAAATAAGCAAGGGTGTGACAACCCAATTCAAGGTCTATTACTAAGAGTTTAATGGACTATTGCTCTGTTTTCAGCTTCTTTTCATTATCAAACAACTGGTGATGACCAAGTTTCACCACCCCACAATTTCCCCAAACTGACAATGCGCCAGGAGACCAAATGTCCCAAGGATTATCGGCAACAGGGTGAGAGCTGATTTTTATCTTTTTGTACCATATCCAGTTCTTCTTGACTATTACTATATCCAGATATCTTTCCTCATTTTATACCCTCTGGGATGGATGAGTATCCATTGGTAGTTTTTCAGCACCGGGCCAGTTTAACTAATTCCAAGTTCCTGGATTATTATTTTTTATTCTTTTTCCTTCTCTGTTGTACGAAATGTTTGGTAGGACAATGTTTTTCCATCCATAGCACCTTGGGATGGAACAATGATTTCCATCCCTTGTATTCATCATTTCAAATGGGAAGAAGTGAAAAAAAAATCCTCATGGATTACCTTCTAATAATGTCTGGGAGTTTGAAAAGTGAAAACAATAGTTGTGTAAAACTGTCCTTAACAGCTCACCCGAGTGATCAGATTGGTTCAGATTCTGATATAACATTTGGGAGAGTCTATGCTGTGTTGTTATTACTACCTTATACTGTTATCTGTGTTTCCCAGTCTTTGCCGTTCAGATACTATATATTAAGACACTGGAGCTTGCCCAATTTTCCAGCTTTTAACCATATTGCCTGAAACTTGCAGACGACACAATCCAAACATGTATCTGAAAGACACAAGTTTGGGAATGATGATACAGGTTTCCCCATCTCCTACCTGCTGTCTAGCACATCATTTCCAAATAAAATCAGATCTCACATGCAATATGTAAAGGTTTTAGGGACAAATATATGTTTTTAAAAAAGCTTCCAAATATTGCTAAAGCCCCTGACTTCATTATTTTGGGTTTCAGGTTTATTGGGGAGGAGGAGATGATTTTTCAATTTTAACTATGAATGAATAATCTGAGCCAAGGAGATGGTAGTAACTGTTTTGTCAAGAGAAGACATGTAAAGACAAATAACAGGCTAAGCAGATACTGGCTTTCCTTTTTTATAGACAACTACTTGTTGTCTATAAAATACAAATCTTTGTGTGTGTATTATTGGGAGGCTCCCCCTCCCCCCTCCATTTTTATGTCACTGGAACAATAATCAGTCATTATTCTTTTGCTATTGAGCATAGTCAGGCTTCATTCAGCTGATTTGCCCTATCAAATAAAATCCTCATTTGATGAAATAAGTATTAGAAGTTAGATGCAACTATCAATAGATATTAATCATGGTGATTATCTATTACATCAATATTTGAGGAAGTATACCTCTCAATAGAAATTGCCAAGAGGATGACCATGACTAGAATAGCTGTTGTTGTTTTCCATCCCCCCCTCCTTTATATTACAGTCAATCGTCTCTACATTCACTTCCCTATTTTCAGGACTATAAAAAATGCAAATAAGCCCTAGGAAGATGAATGTGCAACAGCCTTCTTGAAGTTAGAGCCCTCCCAGTGTTTGGGACTTCAGCTGCCATGTAGGATTGAAATGATGGAAAATGAAGTCCAATATATCAGGAGAAAACCAGTTTGGGACAAGAGTATAAAGAAACACAAATAAATTAATAATCACCTCTTCCACACACACTTATGGGCTATGCTGATTTAGGAGTGACATCGCACTCCTAATAACATGACTATTATTTTTGGGCAAGCCTCTACAGTCATAATGAACTTCTGCTCCAAATAAAGTACAGTATTGCATCATTTTCTCTGAATTGAAGTTTACTTATGGGAACTCCTATTTTTTCTTGCCTCATGGATCCTGAATTTTTCCCCTCCCTCCTGAAATCACGAGTCAGTGTCTCTTTGCTGCTCTTATTCTACTCTCTCAGATGTATCTGAGAAGCAGTTTTGTAGCTCCTCCCACACAACCATCATTGTTTTCCTTGCTACCAAATAAATGGGCTCTAGTGAAGAATGCTGGTCAAATCACAGGTTGTTGTTGTTGGGTTGTTTGTTTGTTTGTTTTTTTGCAATCTCCTTTTTTTTTAAAAAAAAATTGATTTATATGCCGCCCTTCTCCGGAGACTCAGGGCGGCTTACAATGCATTAAACAACAGCCTTCATACTTTTGTATATTTTATACAAAGTCAGCTTATTGCCCCCACAATCTGGGTCCTCATTTTACCTACCTTAGAAAGGATGGAAGGCTGAGTCAACCTTGAGCCTGGTGAGATTTGAATTTGCAGTAATTACAGGCAGCTGATGTTAATAACAGTGCTTTAGTCTACTGCGCCACCAGGGCTCTATTAAGCAGCTGGAGGAACATTGGTCAAAATCACAGAGTTCTTTAGCAGCCAGTGGGCAGCACTCATAAGACATTGCATGGGTGCTTCAGAAGGGCAAAAATTATAGCTCTGTGATTCCATTCAAAGACTTGTGGTTTTCTCCAACAGATGCTATAGACAGTGACAGCACCTCTTCTGGAGATGCAGACTGGTACGAGAATATCTACAAACCACAACAACACGTGGCGCAACAAGCCGATGAACCTTCCTTTGCAGGTGAAGAACAGGTGTCCTAAAAGCAGGTGCACATCCTTTAATTAGTCAATTAGTGTATTGTTCATCAAACACTCTCTTTGTTTCTATCTAGTTGTCCAGATTTTTGCACAGCATAGAAGCTCTAAATTGGGTAATTTTTTTCTATATATTAAAAACGGACAAAATCTGTTGTTGTCATCCTCATGTAAGCAAAGGTCCTTCATGTTGCAATCCTGTGCATAGCCACAGATGGGTGAAATATCCTTTACAACAGCTTTGCCCTTCTGTTTCCCTCCAGATGTGTTGGGGCTAGAATTCCTAGAATGGGAAAGGCTGTTCAGGAAGGGCTTGTCAGAGCATTCATCTCTCATCTCTCATGTCAATACTTTTCTCCCATTCATTCCAAAAGATTATTTGGCTAGATAATTAGATCATCAGATTTCTCAGCTAAGTATACAGTTCTACAGAGGAATTATTGAGTCTGTCATCTGCACCTCTATAACTGTCTTGTTTGGTTCTGCAACCCAACAAGGCAGAAAAAACAATTGCTACCAACCTGCCTTCCATTGAGGACCTGTATACTGCATGAGTCAAAAAGAGGGCTGTGAAAATATTTACACAGCCCTCTTTTTGACTCATGCAGTATACAGGTCCTCAATATTTACAGACCCCTCACATTCTGGATATAAACTGTTTCAACTCCTACCCTCAAAACGACGCTATAGAGCACTGCACACCAAAACAACTAGACACAAGAACAGTTTTTTTCTGAACGCCATCACTCTGCTAAACAAATAATTCCCTCAACGCTGTCAAACTATTTACTAAGTCTGCACTACTATTAATCTCATTGTTCCCACCACCCATCTCCTTCCACTTACGACTGTATGACTGTAACTTTGTTGCTTGGATCCTTACCATTTATATTGATATTGTTTCCTGATTGCTTATTTGTACCCTATGACTATCATTAAATGTTGTACCTTATGATTTTTTATGAACGTATCTTTTCTTTTATGTATACTGAGAATGTATGCACCAAGACAAATTCCTTGTGTGTCCAATCACATTTGGCCAATAAAAAATTCTATTCTATTCTATTCTATTCTATTCTATTCTATTCTATTCTATTCTATCCTTTTCTTCTGTGACACTGCCTTTTGTTTCTTGGATCCTGAGCTGATTACTCTTCTCAATTTTTTTGCTTCAGGCTTAACAGTTTTTGCCAAACCTTGGTCAAACGGCTTGACTGGCTCTGGAAATGATTCATCTGACAGTAGTGAACATCATAACACGTGATCCTAAGGACCTGGGCTGCTGAAGGGAGACAGCTTCATGCCTGGCCTCTCCTACAAAAATCACCAAGGTTGGCAACAATAACCTGAGAACTGAGAGAGAGAATTATCCACAATTTCAGTCTTGAGGACTCAGCATTGAAGAAATCGACCAGAGGATTTCAGGATCTTCAGCAGCTGCAAAGGCACATCAATGACTATTTCCCTCCCTTGTTCAATGAGAAATATGCCTCCTTTATAAAGACACATATTTCTATCCTGCCCTACCATGGGAGAACTTTGTGGGGGATTAGGATTAGCACTGAGCTCTTGATTCCCCTTATTTGATTTTGTTTTGTCACACAGTGAGATGCCATCAAACCAAGATGGAACTTCAAAATACTAGATAAGCCAAAAGAACAGAATATTCCAGCCACATCACCTTGTTAGGGTGTTGCTGCTACCTTTTCAGGACCTCTCTTCCAGGAACCAAGAGGCCAGTTTTGTTTTTGAGGAAATTGTTAGGTTTAAGACCTGAGGCTGGTTAGAGATTTTTGGGGTAGCAATGGGATTCTCTCATGGATGAAATTAAATGCCAATGCTGCTTCTCTTGAAGAAAGTTTGGCTGTCTCTTAAAAGATTCTGAAAGGAAGGTCTAGGTTTTTATATTGAAGCCCGGGAGTAGCTATGAAATGCCAAATGTGTGACAGAAACTGTCAGCCATTCAAAGTATGCGCATATGTGCATGCACATATGCACTGCCTTGTATAAGATATTTACTATGTTTGGGTTGGTATCTTCCCACATTTTCCAATGTTCTAATCACCCAAAAACAAAAACACAAACCACCCCAAGAAGAAGAAGAAGGGAAAGATTAAGGAAGTTTATAGTTAAGTACCTCATAGCTATCAATGAAGAAGATCTAGGATGTTTCCAAATTGGGTTTGTGCATCTGTGAGAGAGGCAGAGCAAGTGTGCCACTAGATTTCCCCATTTATAAAATTGTAAGGGAGAGATCCAGACACCAACTCTCCTATGTTTCCCCACCTCTTGTTCTACTAAGGAGACAATACTGGTTGTTTAGGCCATCTCTTTTTATTTTTATCCTCTCAACTTGGAAATGTCCTAAGTGACCCATCAAACAAAACTAGGGTGACCATGTATCATCTACAAAATCTAGAAAACCACTAAATGACAGCAAAGAGACAGCGTTTTATGTTTCTTTGCTGCCATTTTAGTGTCATGTGGATTATTGCAGACAAAATGTAATTTGTCTGGCTGCAGCCTAGTATCTTATCTGCTGTGTAACATTTGCCATTTTGGCTTGGAAAGGATGGTTTATGGTTTGATGTACTACAAGAACTAGCCTACCTTGGTTAATTCAGTAAGCCATATTTAGACCAATTATGACTTGGCATGCCATGCCAAAATAATTATAGTATGGAAAACTTTCTTTTCTTGTGTACAGGAAATGAGTAATGAAGTTCAGCCCCTTCATAGCAAGATCGTTGTTTTCCTCTGGGATGTGTGTAACTCTGGGATTTCATGAGCTGGAAGTAGGACAAAACACTGTTCAAAAAGCATTTGTTTGAATGTCAAGCGTGAAGCCTCTCAAAACAGAGTAAGATGCACAGTTGCTAGAACAGGAAGACTCTAACAATATAAGCATAATATATATCTAAAGGAAACTGTATGTAGTCTTATTAGTCATTCTCAGAGTATGAGCAGGGTTGCTGCATTTGTGTAATTATCTAAGAGAGAAAGCTTTGCCTTTTTTTTAAAATGTCCTTTGCAGATTTTGCAAGTGGAGAAGACACTGAGACCTCAAATAGAATGTTGCAATATGATTGGCGCCTGGATTCATTCCATTTGCTCATCCCTAATGACATACTTCCTGATCCCATTCTAGCTTTTTTTTTTATCATGAAGCATGTTTTTCTTCATTGGATTGATCTGAACACCCCCAGAATAAGATGCCTATGCATGTTGATTATGCACTATAAAGTTGGCATTGACTTTTAGCAACAACGTAGGCAGATTTTCTTCATGATGATCTCTCCCTAACCTGGTGCTTCAGGTCTTCCACCAGTGTACCCATCCCCACTATAATGAAATCCATCCACATTACTGCTAGTCATTCTCTTCTTTTCCGTTCCACCTTTCCCAGTATTCCCAGCATTTTTCAAAGAACTGGGTTTCTGCATAGAGTGTCGAAAGTAGGATAATTTGAGCCTGGTCATTTGTGCCTTAAATGAGAACTATGGACTCGTTTGCTAAATAATCCAATTGTTGGTTTCCTTAGCTGTTCACGGTGTTTTCAAGAATCAGTTTCAATACCTAGTTCAAAAGTGTCAATACTGTTTCCATCCTGTTTTTTTAAAGTCTGGGCTATGCATTAGTATGGCAGTATTCCTTTCAGGATCAATTGCTTGAAAGTAGACCATAAACAGAATAAAAGAAAGACAAACAGCATGATCTCCTAGTAGTCCTGGTGCTTCTAGGTACCTCATTTGATGTCCAATAGCTCCATGCACCAAATAACATTCAAATATATATACACACACATGCTGGACAAAACAAAGTACTGGCATTATATTTATTTCCACTAATACCTTTCGGCCTCCCAAAATTCTGGCTGCTAAGTCAATTTCTGGGTAAAGAGGTAGTTTAGGATTGGCCATCTCCTTCACTGAAGCCATTTATGTCTAGACAAGTCTCTTATGGCAGCCATTTTGTGTGCCCATCCCCTGCATGCTGTCAAACTGCCTACCAACCCAAAAAAGGTTAGTCCGATCTGGGATGGATGAAGTGCTCTGATGTCTTCCTTGTGGTCTTCTTAGAGGCTACTGTGGGAAACAGCATAGTAGACTTGAGAAGCCTTTGATCTGACCCAGTCATCTTTTTTCTGTGTCCCCCCCCAATATAAATGATAAGGGATTGTAAATGATTGGCAGGAAGAGTTACTTCAGAGGAAAGGAATGTTCAGTAACACCAGAAGATTGGAGACTCTGAAGACAGGGAGTGAATATTGAGTCAGTAGAGATCTATATAGTTTTTCAATACCAAGGCCCAAAAGGGAGCTGCATATTTTACCACCCAGCAGAAGTACTGTGGTCTCGTACAGAATAATAATATGCACATCACCTCTCAACCGCAATTTATTTATATTGAAAGTCACCTTTTCCCTCTACAGAGAGAAAAAGAATCTCTACCAGTTAAGCCCTTTGAGTTGATACCTAAAAAAAGATTTGTACAATTCAGAGGAAACCAATCCGAATGTTGTACAATAATTCAATGGAGAAAACTGAACAAAACAGTCTTTGGGGCTCAAAACAGTTCTCCCCCTGCGTGGAGTTTAACAATCCCCCACAGAGGGAGTTAGAACGTGTTGGCAATTTAGGATTTTAGACATGACTCTAGCATACCAATTTAGTATACTTGGAACAACTCCACCTTGAAGAAATTCAGGATGTATTTTGTTGGCTTCTTTGGTGTTTTGGATTTGGAAACAAAAGGTACCTTGGTGAAGAAAACAAACCAATACTGGGGGGTGGAGATGACTGCACTAAAGAGCTTTAGAAAGATGCTTTGTTCATCTTCCCTTGTGTGCTCCAAAGCACCTTTTCCCAATTGTTTCCAAACTGATGCACAGCTCTACTGCACCGATCAATCTTTAAAAAATAACAGCCAGAGACATGGGCAGGAACAACGTATGCATAATGTGCATAATGTTGCGAAAAATGGATAGAGAAAATGATATTGTTTTTATTGGCTGCTCTGAGCTGCAGAGGATTACCATGTGAAGTGGGCAGCCATATCGGTTCTTTAAATAAATAAAATAAAATAAATGAACAAAGTCCTTTTTGTTGTAGAGCTTGAGATGAATTAATTGATTCAGCAGGCATAAAAGGAAGGGTTTCCTGACATAATAAAACTATAGAATTTGTTTTCATAAGATCCGTTTAAAAAGTACTGCATACCAGACAAATGAACAAAAAAGACTATTAATAATTAAATAGTCTTAATGGCTGCATGTCCCTCCTCCTCCTTCCCAAGACATTCTGCAATTTCTCTAAATCTCTGTTGCTGTAGGGCACTCAACTAAGGAGGTATTATTTGAGCATTATCTGCTTCTGATCTTCCACATAAGGCACAGTAGGAAGCACAAAGCTACAGTAGATCAACCTTTGCCATATCCACTTATCCTACTTTGACTCATGAGAATAACTTTGCTAGATCAGACAAGAGCCTGCTCAGTCATAAACTAACCCGTCACAGGAAAATATGGAGTGAGTGTTCTTTCTGTTTAGTGATTGGTATTATGCTACATCTGAATGTGAAGGATTTGAAATAGAAAACTGAAGCTTACAGTCATTGATCCCAGAATGAGGATTCTTGTGGCAGTATCTTAAAAACTTTTTTTTAAACTTACAACATGCCTCCCTCCTCCAAAACCAGGTATGAACTAGCTTCTGTTAAAATTAAGCTAAAAACTATAATTGCACAACTGCTATAAATTCAATATGCACATACAGAGATTTATAGTCACCAACCCAATTACTACACTTAGGAAAATATAAAATCTTAAATCAACGTGAAACCCTGCGAACAATATTTAATGGGAACAAAACAGAATTCTGAGATTTGGACCAATGCTAGAATTTATAGGGAATGTTCTTCTTTGCCCATTAGTAGAAAAAGAAGGAAAGAGAATATGTGAGATATCCAGAAGGTGTTTTGATTTTGCAGTATTTTATCTAAAACATGAAGTTGAAAAGGATTCCTGTCTTCCATATACAATTCTTCTAGCATTTCTCCTGACATTTTATTACCACAAAACAGTTCATGAAATGGGTGAAAGTTAAAAGAACTGCCTGCATCTTTCAGCTGAAAGATTGTCTAAACAATCGGCCTTCAAAGGTCCTTCCTCCTATAAGCAGATGCCCTGAAGCTCATTGCCATCTAGTGGTCAAGGCTACACAAGTATAGAGTTGGATGCTGATTTCACTGCAGTATAACTTTACTCTTTGGCCAACTCTGCATATAGTTAAAGTTGATCTGCAGATGCCGCTGCTATTGCTGGACCTACTTCACTAACCCCAAGTTGCACTGGAGGGTGGGAAGGGAAATGACATGATTTGCTGTCAGAAAAATTGTGCTGACAATGAAATTTGAGAAAATAACACCACAACCATTTCAGTCAGTTCAGCCGCTTTCACTATCTTTGCACATCCAGTTATTAAAAAAAGACACTACCCATGTCAGTGCAAACTACTGCATGGAGAGATAGATAGATGTGGATGGATGGAGAGAGAGAGAGAGAGAGAGAGAGAGAGAGAGAGAGAGAGAGAGAGATGTGTACAGTATATGCATATTTATTTTTCCCTTTCTGTTACTTTATATTAGTTTTTATATCCATTTGTGTGTGCATGTGTGTAAAATTTAGTGTATAACTATATGGAAGAAACATATGGAAGAAAAAAAACTAATATAAAGTAAGAAAAAGGAAAGAAAAAGAAAAAAGATCAAACAGAAAGCTAAAAGGGCAAGAAAGGGGAGAAAAGTAAAACAAAAATAGAAAAGAAAGAAAAAAGATACAAAGAAGTAGCTTCCAATCTTCTTTACAGCAATTATAAGTACAATTATAAATTTGCCTCTTATTTTATGGTCATAACATAATCTCTCCTTTTTATAATCTCTCCTGTCTAAGTATCAAAACCATAAATCCTAAATTGTTTTTTTATTTATTCTGTAAAATTTGTAAGGTTTTACACACTTAGGCAAGAAAAAACCAAATGTACAAGTACAGAGTAGCTGAACTTGGCTCAACAGCAGTAACTACAAGAGGGATCTTGGATTCCTGGTGGACAATCACTTAAATATAAGCCAGAAGTATGCTGAAGCTGTCAGAAAAGCCAATGTAATCCCAGGCTGCATTAACAGAGGGATAGAATCAAGATCACGAGAAGTGATACTACCACTTTATAATGCCTTGGTAAGACCAGATTTGGAATACTGTGTCCAATTTTGATCACCCCAATATAAAAAAAATATGTTGAAACTCTGGAAAGAGTGCAGAGAAGAGCAACAAAGATGATTGTGGGGGCTGAAGGCTAATACATATGAAGAACAGTTGCAGGAATGTCTAGTGTAGTAAAAAGAAAAACTAGGAGTGACTTAATAGCAGTGTTCTAATATTTGAGACGCTGCTAAAAAGAAGAGGGTGCCAATCTATTTTCCAAAGCACCAGAAGGCAAGACAAAAAGCAATGGATGGAAACTGAGCAAAGAGAGAAGCAACCTAGAACTAAGGAGAAATTTCCTGACAGTAAGAACAATCAACCAGTGGAACAGTTTGCCTTCAGAAGTTGTAGATGTTCCAACACTGGAGACTTTTAAGAAGAGACTGGACAACCATTTGTCTAAAATGGTATAGGGTCTCCTGAGCAGTGGGTTGGACTAGAAGACCTCCAAGATCCCTTTCAACTGTTATTTTGTATGTAACAAGTTCTATCATCTTTAGCAACCATTCCTTTATTTATTTATTTATTTATTTATTTATTTATTTATTTATTTATTTATTCAACTTGTATGCTGCCTTTCTCCGAAGACTCAAGGCGGCTTACAATGCATTTAAAAACCATATATAAAACATTAAAAGTTAAACCATTAAAAACAATTAAAACCCATACACACCATTCATGGCCGGATCTCGCCAGATCGCAACAGCGAGATCAACGGCCCCAGGCCTGCCGGAAGAGCCAGGTCTTCACCCCTTTTCAGAAGGCCAATAGGGTGGGGATGGTCCGGACCTCAGGAGGTAACTGGTTCCAGAGAGCTGGGGCAGCCCCAGAGAAGGCCCTCCCCTGCAGGCCCGCAAGCCGGCATTGTTTAGCTGACGGGACCCTGAGGAGACCTTCTCTGTGGGATCTTACCGGTCGCTGGGAGCTATGCTGTAGAAGGCGGTCTCAAAGATACCCTGGCCCTGAGCCATGGAGGGCATTAAAGGTAACACCTTGAATTGTGACCGGAGACCAATAGGGAGGCAGTGCAGCTTGCGGAGAATTGGTGTAATGTGGGTGTACCTAGGTGCACCCACGACAGCTCTCACGGCTGCGTTCTGGACCAACTGTAGTCTCCGAACACTTTTCAAGGGTAGCCCCATGTAGAGCAGATTGCAATAATCTAACCGTGAGGTGATAAGGGCATGAGTGACTGTGAGGAGAGCCTCCTGATCCAAGTAGGGTCGCAATTGGTGCACCGGGCGAACCTGTGCAAAGGTCCCCCTAGCCACAGTTGACAGATGTTGCTCTAATCTTAGCTGTGAGTCTAGGAAGACACCCAAATTGCGGGTAGTGCTGAATCTTTCCATCGTTGTTCATACAATAATCTTACTGTAGTTACAATGTATAAGAATAAAGTTCCATGATTTTTTTCAACTGATTATCCATCAATCCCAAAAGAAAAACATGTGCTCTAAATTGTATATTAAAATAATCAGAAACAGAATTTTCTAGCTCTTTTTACATGTCCACCAAACATGATAAAATGTCCATTCTTGTTGTTCACATTTCTAACATAAATTTGAAGAAAGCCCAGTTAAAGCTGTCCAATGTCATCTTTCCATCTAAGACAATCAATGTGGCTTGTTTTCCATTATGCTGCTCCAAATATTCCAAAATGTCCAGTACATTTCTAATATTGTCCTTTAACTATCCTTTAGATAAAATCCCACATTGGTCCTCATGAATTCTTGCAAAATTATTTCAGTCTATCAGCTAGAATCATTGTGAACAACTTATAGTTGTATTCAATAATGATGTTGGCTTACAGTTTCTTTTTAAAGTCAAATCTTGTCCACTTTTAGGTATTAGTCCTATGTTGGCCTCTTTCCAATCCTCTCGCATCTTTCCTCCCTGTAAGGTAGAATTCATTGTGTTTTGTAAAAGTTACAAAAGTTCATCCTCAAACATTTATAATAAAAACCTGAAAATCCATCTGCTCCAGGCACCTTTCCTGGTTTAATCTTTTTCATAGCTTAAGAAACTTCCTTATTGTTATATGTCTGTTCATAATCTGTCTCTGTTTCTCTGTAATCTTCAATAAATTTTGCTTTTTGCCGTTACTGATTTTGATACTCAGGAAGGAAATACAATATCCTGGCCCCCACAATGATTTATTGTGTCATGGTAGATATTATATAGAAACAATACCTCAAACCACAATATTTAGCCTTTAGAAAACTATTCTTTTCCAGTTAATATATCCACTGCGATTGAAAATTCTAAAGTAGCTATGCTGTGCCTTGGTTTTAATAAGATATTGCAATCTGTATTCTGTAACATTTTTACTAATTGGTGACGCATCTTTCAATCATCCTTCCTAAGAGTGTTAAACGATTGCATTGGATTACAGCTTTAATAAATGAAAACATTTTTGCTGTACTGTTCTGATACTGAAAGTTGCACATAAATATCCTATTTAATACAGCTAAGTACAAACTACCTCAACAAAATTTCATCTGAAGAGAAAAAAAAAAAAACCTCCCTATTCATGCTTTGCAGAAACTGTTCACTCCTTTTCTTCAATGCCTGACCGCACAATGCCCTTTTGTCAGACTGAAAAGGTAGAAACCCAACAAGCTACCCCTCAGTTCTGTTATGTGAGACAGAATATGGTGCTCTCTGCATTGGTCTTAAGTAGACTATCTTGCCTAGGATTCTTCTCAAAGCGCTACCCATCAATCCCTGAGCCAGCAGAAAACGCTACCAGTGAGATATGAGTTCCCCTCACTAGCACTCCCTATCCACCTAAAAACAATGCTAGCAAACATTTGATTCTCCCAGTTTTATTTCCTCCCCAAAGTCATCTGCAACCAGAGGAAAATACCCATCACTCACTTTCCTTAATATGGATTGGAAGAGAGGCATGTTTTGATAGATACCGGTAGCTGTTGTTTATCAAATTTAGTCATCTGTCAAACTTTGTTGTTTATGGATGTAGTTAAAGGAAGCTTGAATGTTAGCTAACATCAACTGATGCTTGTGGGGGTGGGGGTTATTTTGGATATGGGTTTAGATCTATTCCTGAAAAACACTAAACTCATGCTCAAAAGCCATCCAAATAACAGCCAGCAAGACATAGAGAGTTTTGCTTGTGACCACCATTGCTGATCAGCTGCTTGTAAATACAATTGTGGAGCTTTGTTTGGAAGATGCAAACTCTTGTCTTCCAAAACTAGAATGAACCCTGAGAGCAGGCTTAGAGAGCAGAGAGTAGGTAGGGGCCATGTCCACATCTGTCTAAAGTAGCCCTGCTAATTCTATCTCCTAGGGTTCACCTAACCAGAGGTAAGTTTCAGCAGGTTCTGACCAGTTCTGGAGAACCGGTAGCAGAAATTTTGAGTAGTTCAGAAAACCAGTAAATACCACCTCTGACTGGCCTCGCCCCCATCTATTCTGCCTCCCAAGTCCCAGCTGATGGGAGGAAATGGGGATTTTACAGTATCCTTCCCCTGCCATGCCCACCAAGCCACACCCACCAAGCCATGCCATGCCATACCCACCAAGCCACACCCACAGAACCAGTAGTAAAAAATGTTGAATCCCACCACATGTGAGCAACCTAACAGTCAGTGAAATGTGCCTCATGATATTCATGACAAAAATTATGTCCACGTAAGAGGAAAAGAACTACTTTAAAATCAGAACAGGTAAGAAGACTGTATAAAATATGTTGCCAAGGCATGTCTGTGCCATGTTAGATACAAATGATGGAAGACTCTTAATCATAATGTAAGAGTTTCCTGAATTACTGTGAATTAATACCAGCTCTGCACACATTGCAACTGATGGCCTACCTTATATGAGAAAATGAGAGATGGCATAATTGCATAGATTCATTAGTCTTCCATTTCTGATGCGGTCTTTAGATAATCTATAACAAATGTCCCTCTCAGAATTCATAACACAGAATATTACAATTATTACCATGCAAGAAATACCTAATTTTCAAGGTTATATTTCATTTATTTAAGGAAACTCCATTGAATGTATGCACATCCAAACCATCCCACTTGGCTAGGTTAAGCCAGACTGGCTTAAAAGTCAGAAAACTAGCAGTGCTAAGATTTGTCCGATCAAGATGTAAGAAGACAGATGTTGCACTTAGAGTAAAGATTGCTCTATTAACACTCAGCAGCATACTGAGGATGCTTAATCAGAGGACACAAGACTAAATCACAACATTTCTGGAGTACCAACTGCCTTATCTAGATTTTCTCAAGCCTGCTGTACTCTTCTAAATGCTATTTGTGGGTCCCACTTTGCTTCCTTGACATTGTTATCCCCCATTTCACACACATCTCTTTTATTCGATCTTTAAATCATTGGCATCTATTGGACTGCGACATAGAAGACATCCATGTTTGTGTGAACGTGTGATCATTCACAACCATAGCACGAAAGGGCAAAAGGGAGGGGAGCTGAAAGTGGTTGCAAAGAAAGCAACATTGGTGCAAACCAGCTTTGGCAGAAAATTCCCCCTCTGCCACATCCTTCAGCTATTTATCGGCTCTGATAGGTTCTCATAACACAAAGAGAGAGAGAGGGAGGGAGAGAAATGTTGTAGCAAACCACAAAATGAAGGTTGTGTCTACAGGAAGAATTGAAATAGAAACAGTGAACACCTGTGGCCTAGAAATGCAAAGTACAAAAACGAAGGATAGGAAGCGCCCATTCAAAAACTCAGCATGTAACCCACAATTGCCAGAAATAGGGTATACTATTCTTATTGTTGGTTTTGTTATATTAAAAGGCTATTTTTATAGTGCACTTTTGCTCCCTCCCTTGCTTTTATACACATACACACAAACCAAATATATCTGTAACACTTGACCTAAATATTTCTGCCTCCCCTTCTACATTTCTTCAAGGGATTACCTCATGATTTCTCATAGATGTATGGATGCTTCAGCCTCCAGAGCAGTAAGATGTCTGGACTTCAACTCCCAGAATTCCCCAGTCAGCATCTTGCACTATAGCTTTCATCATCCACGGTCAACAAGGCTCTTGCCTGATGGGGCAAAGCAGCTGTAGTCCAAAGCATCTGGAGGATGTTGGGTTAAGGAAAGCTGGTTCAATATTCATTATATCTTGCTATTGCTAACCTTGTGAACATTTGGGGAATATTTTGTTTTCTTGCCTTGACTGATTCTAAGCACAGATACCTTCTCTGATGAGAGGGGTTTCCATACTGTGAACACTGGAGTCAAGCAACTGGTAGCCTTTGGGTTATCACCAGCCTTGTCTGAATGACATAGAAATATAAAACCAGAAGGGACTATTTAGATCAGGGGTGTCAAACTCACGTCATCACGGTGGCATCACATGACGTATCAGGACTTTTTCCCCCTTCGCTAAACATGGGCATGGGCGTGGCCAGCATGTGACGCATCCGGCCCATGGGGCGGGAGTTTGACAGCCCTGATTGATTTAGATGATCAAGTCCAACCCCTTGGGTGATTTTGCGACAGTTTTTCTCTCTCACTTCACAGGGATGTTGTTTTGGGAAAAATAGAAGGTAGGAGCATGGTGTTGTACAAAATAAAAGGCGTCCCTGCGGATTTTACTCCGCTAGTCATTGCCAACTATATGTGGTGGTGCTCATCTCTGTTTCAAGGCCATTGAGCCAGCGCTGTCCGAAGACATTTCTGCCATCATGTGGCCAGCATGATTTACAGAGCACTGTTACTTTCCCACCAAAGTGGTACCTATTTATCTACTCACATTTACATGCTTTCAAACTGCTAGGTTGGCAGGAGCTAGAGCGAGAATGGGAGTTCGCCACGTAACGTGGTGCTCAAGCCTCGAACCGACTTTCTAGCCAACAAGTCCAGCATCTTCTTAATCACTGAGCCAATGCACCACTCTACAAAATAAAAAGCAGGATATAAATCCAGTAATAAATACATATAAGTAAATAAGCAAATTCTCAGTCTAATGATGAAATCTTTCTGTAAGCATTTGGTAATTCAGACTCCCCCTCTGTTAGAGGCTGCTGTAAGAGGAATAAGGGAAGACATGCCCTTCAGCCTCTGGATCTAGCCTGTTTACTTTGACCCTAGTCACCAGCTGGCATACTTCCTCCCGCTGATTATCCATAAAGTACTGTTGCTGTCCAAAGAAAAAAGGCTGCCACCCATCCGTGACATGTAAAGAGGTACTTCAGATGCTCACTGAATGTTAGCTCTGTGTGCCAAGTACAATTGTAAATGTAATACTTATGACTGACAGATTGCCCTTTTTGGATCTCAAACTGCTTCTGAATTTCTCAAGAGATTTGGCACCCGGCATAAAGGAAACAGATGTTCCAATTGAAGTATGGAACAAGTTGCGTGGTTATTTGGATCCAGGAAAATGTCTTCCAGTTCTTTACACATAACAACTTGTCCTTAAGCACGATTTGTTCTGTTGAGGATTGATTTTAAAGTTGACAATCAACTAAAGATTACTAGCCACTTCGGATCTGTAAATTTCTAGTTTGTTCTGAAAATTCAAGTACTAACAAAAAAAATCTTAAACTGTCTGTTTCACACAACTTGGTGAACAGGTTCTCCTGAGCACAATCTGGACCAGTGTTTTTCCAAACTTGGCAAAGGTAAGACCAGGTTCTAATTTTTTTTACTACCGGTTCTGTGGGCGCGGCTTGATGGTCATGTGACAATTCTTTAGGATTTAGCAGAGGGACTGGTCTACCAGGCTTTTAACTGCTTGGAGAGCTATACAGGTCTACTCATTTGTTTTTGGAGGCACCAGTCTATCCATTTATTTTTGCAGGCACTGATTTACTCATTTGTTTTTGGAGGCACCAGTCTACCACCACACTGTTTTTTAACACTGATCAGCTGTAGGGCGGCCCTTTGAAGCCCCATGACAAGAGTTTAAATAGTTTTTTTCCTTCTAGCCGATCAGCTGGGACTCAGGAGGCAGCAATAGATTGGGGGTGGGGCCAAATAAAAGCTAAGAATACATGGGGGAGAGCAGAACCGGTTTGGTGATGTCATATCGTCACCGCTACCGGTTCGGCGGAACCGGGCGGAACCGGGAGGAACCCACCACTGGTGTGGACTTTCCCAATCATGACAAATTAACATTGCCAAGTCTGATAAATGCTGCTCTAAATCTTTATAGAACTTTATAGAGATTATATAATCTTTATAGAGATTATAAATCCATATGCATAGGTATGCCTCTCTGGGGATTCCAAATATACATTAAAACTTCAACATTGCTGTTTTGCAATTGAATAAAGCAATGCTGCAATAGCATGTGAGAGTGACCTTGAGGAGCAAGAGGAATAGGTGCTGCTTAGGAAATGCTTGGACAAGAAAGCAGGGAGCCCACAGTTGCTTAATGGTCAGAGAAAGAAACTTAGGAAAGACTGACTATAATGGATCAGGCATTAAACATGGCAGCAGGAGCTTTGTACTTTTAGACTTGCAAGACTCTCTTAATGTAGCCTTACAATAAAGTAGAATTAGCTCATCTTGTTGTGTTTCTTGTCTGGGAGGGCTGATGACTCTCCACATCGGGCCACCCACTACATCCTTTAATAGAATCTCTATTTCCCTGTTGTTGGACTACTGGCTCTAGAAAAGAGAATTTCATACTATACAGGCAGCTGCAGAAGAGTATGAATTGTAGTCCTGTTGGCTTCATCACTAAATAAGGCGCCACAGATTCTTCCCTCCACTACCGCAGACATTTTTAATCATTTGCATGTATAATTAATTTCCATGTTTTTAGGTTTTCCCTAAAGCAGCTGTGTGTGTTTACCACACAGTCAAGTATCTACAGTGAGAAGATGGGGGGGGGAGGGACCCCCCCTTCCCCCCCCCCCCCCCCCCCGGGAACAGGACTATCCTTGCAGTCTGTCAGTCTGAAAAGAATTACAGAGAGATGCATGTTTGTCTTTCTGCCACCCTCCTCGGAGATCTCTGTCCTCAGACCCAGAAGCTACTTTTTAAGTGTAAAAGAAAATAATAATGGGAACATGGGAAGTGATGAGCGGAAACACACAGAATTTGAAGAATCCAGAGATGACCACACTGATGCTGGAGGACACAATTACCATTTATTATTTCATTTATTTGCCTGATAGCAAACCTTTCTGCTTAGACCAGGTGGAAGGCAAGTAACAAAATTTTACAGCCCCGTAATACAATACTATTTATAGTAAGATTAATAATGCTATAATCACAGGCACCTTTACAAAGGTTCTAGTAGGCAATATGGTGATACTGCCAGACTTAATGGAGGCCTAGATGAGATGACATTAGTATCCTTAGTATTCTTACTTTCTCCCTCTTTCAGTCTTTGCCTTCCATCTCTCTTTTAACTCTTCTGTCTCCTCTTTTTGCTTTCTCCTGCCTTCCCTATGCTCACTTCACCTTCCTGTGCAGCAGCATCTTTTCCTTATCTCTCTCTCCAGTAGTTAGAAGGACTCAGGCACATTACAAAGAAAAGCTTCAGTCGTGTCTGGCATCTTAATTTCCTCAGAGTACCCCCTAGGCTAACCGGGAGCTACCTAGGGGCACTCTAGGCAAATGAAGATACCAGGAAAATTGGAGGAGGCTTGACCTCTTCTGTGTTGTGGTTTTAAAACAACAACAACAACAAGTACACTTTAAACAAACACACATGGTGGCTGTACTTGAGGCTGAGCTATAATCTGCACCCAGTGATTTGACTGACTGATGTTGCAGTGCAAAAGGACTCAGTTTTCCTTGTTTGCATTTCTAAATGGCTTAGAAAAAGCTCCTATAATGGTGTTTCTCAACTTCAGCCATTTTAAGCTATGAGGACTTCAACTTCCAGAATATTCTGGGAGTCAAAGTCCTCATAGCTTAAAGTTGCTGAGATTGAGAAACACTGTCCTATGGAAAATATTGGATAGCCACTGCTAGTCACTGCTAGCCATTAGAAACTATACCAAATAGTTTCCTATCTTTGCCAGTGTAACTAATGTTAAAATCTCTTAAATAAAATAATAAGGAACTAGTGACATGACACAATATTCCCCTATTTGCATTCCAATGTTTTTGAAGTGACTTGCCTCCAAGTCCTTCCAAAGCGGCTTCATCTTGGATGACAATAAGACAATCATCACATTCTTAATATGGGACAGAAAAATCTTTAGAGCATTTACAATTAAGACTCAATTTCATTATTGTACAACCTTACATCTCAAGTTCATGTGCACCCCAGGGTTTTGTGTATGAGCTCCAGAGCTTCTCCAAATGTTACTGCTGAACTATCTTTCTGCAGAAACACCAAAGAGGGATTTGGAAATGCAAATCAGCTTTCTGAACAGGTTTTGTATTAGCATTTTAAAGGGTATATTTATTTGTTTATTTAAGGATTTACCAGAATACAGGTGTCTACCATCGCTTTCATAAATGAAAAGCAACATATAAACAAAAGCTCAGCAATCATATTAAGTATAATATAATACATAGTGAATTTAGCAAGTTTAAACACACATAAAACACAATAGAAAATCAAAGAAATAGCTCAAGCTAGCATATCCGTTTTTCATCTCTGTCTTTCCCTCCCCTCCTCCCCATTTATCCTCAATACAACCCTTTGAATTACACAAAATTGATAAATAGTGTCACATTCAGATTAAGCTTTATTTGCCTGGCTCTACATAGGGTAAAATCACGCTTCTAAACAATAAATCTCACTAGCACTACATTTTAGAATAAAGCATACCTGGAAGTAGAATGTTTTAAGTGTGTGAAGCTGCCCTAAGCAGTAAACCCTCCCGAGAATTATTGAAAAATATTTTATTGAAAATATTGTAGAAGGAGAACTGTGTTAGTGTATGGTCACAAAAAAATATCCAAAAGAATCTGGTGCCACCATTTCTGACATTTTTTTTTTATTTTTTTTTTGGAAAGGCATAAGATTTCATGAACTGCAGCTCTCTTCAATAGATGCACAGAGCAATCAGACTGATGTGGGATTTCGATGGGGGTGGGGAAAGAGACACATAGGTAATTATACAGATGAAGGTTTCGTGTGTGAGCCAGATTGCAAGTTCTGTTTCAATCAACAATTATAAAGTGTTAAATACGCAATTGCCTGACATCTTTTGATGTACAGTATATGAGTTTTGCAATTTCTCACTCAGTGGTGGAGTAAAAAACGCTTTCCCCCCCAAAACAGTCACTTTGAAGTATGCTATATAATGCTCTGGCAGTCTGACATGTCTTTTTTTTTTTTTCTGAGTCCCGATGTCAGACTTGTGTCCATTAATTCTTTGCACAAAGTTTGTCTCATTTGTCCTATATAAACTCTGGAGGGGCATTGCTGGCAGATGATGGAAGATTCAATATTCCCATTGAAGAAGTCCAAAGCATGAAACACAGAAAGAAAAACGCATCATGGCTCAAAAACACTTATTTGAGATTCCTAACTCAAACTGATTTTAAACTAGTTTGCCAGAGGGGATTCTGCAATTAACAAATATAGTTTATTAATTTGTTGTCACATTTTAGTTACCATCAATCTTTTCTCTGTTTATTTTTCTCAAGAGCTTTGAGAAAACCAATAAAGATTCCATGTCTTGCCTACGGGCTGTGAATACGGAATGTTTTCAGTTCTGACAATTTTCAGATTATAATGTAGGATAAACTAATGCACTTGTAGCATGTCTCCAATGTTCTGCTGATCTGACTGGTAAATCTCCATATAAACAGGACTGAAAGTGGAACGTGAATATTTATTTTCAAGTTTCCAAAGCAATCTTTTCACACAAATATTTGATCAAGCAGCTCAATAAAGCTGCCTCAAAAAGTATGCCTAAGGTTTTTGTCCTGAAAGTCTTGCTGTTTTTGTGTGCAGCTATACACATGACAGAATTTA